TTCCCTAAGTTTACATTTACCATTAATAAATAATAAATTTCATTTTATATAAAAAATAAAAATTGATATAATTATAGGTTGTCTATTAGATTAGGGTTTTAATATGTATTTAATAAATACTGTAAAATATATTTAAATAATTTATATTAATTAAGATTTCTTTTTAATAAAATGTTTTTTAAAAATATATTTGTTATCACCATAATATATGACATTCATTAAATCCTTAATTTTTTTTTGTTTTAAATCATTATCTTTTCAACAGGATTATGATAAATTTAATTTATTACATGTCTATTGTCTTCATTTTTACTGCATTCATCCTATGTTTAAATTGAAATTAGGTAGAGTTAGTCTCAACATACAATTTCAATAAGAAAAGATAGTTTGATCATAGAGTTTTTGTATAAGATTTCAGCTCAACTATAAATATGTGTCTTGGAATCAGAATTCATTGTCAAACTCTCCCTTCATTAGCTTTCAGGGAAAAATCAAATGGAAGATAGAAGTGGTTATGAAAAATATTTAGTTGAACATAATAGAAGTCATTATGAAAAATATCATTATGGATATGAAAGATATCGTTCAATTCAGAAACTATATGTTTCATTACTTAGCAGGGATACAACTGCAATCTATCAAAGGATAAGAATTGCTTAATCTTCATTTTCTTTTCTATATAAATTATTGTTTTCATAACCCTCAATTTAGTCCTATGGTTTGCTCCCACAAGTCTCAAAGAATGAGAGATCTCTAGATTATTATTTTGTATTGGGTATGCATGTAAAATAAATATTAGGTATGTATGTAAAATAAAAATAATCTAATATTTATTTTCTCTAGCTTGCGGTGTTTGTGGATGATCCCATTAGGTACTCCATAGGCTGTGTTTGGTTTGAGGTAAAATAGGATTGCTCCGGTAATCTTCGTTTAATTTTCAAGATTTTCTTGTTTGGATTGCAAATAATAAAATATTACGGTAATCTTTTGTGCAAATAGTGTTTACTGTTGGTAATATAGGGGCTAATCAGATTACCTTGCCATAGGGTGTTATTAAAAGATTACTGAGGTAGTATGATTTTATATCTATTTTGCCCTTAATTAAATACCATTTCGGACACAATTGGCCCCACACGTCTACCAAATAACAATTACACAGATCCGCCACATTTGAGAATTTAGCTAAAACACCTCAGCCACAAAAAAGTTTAAAAGTTGACAAAATACTCACAGTCACCCAAGTCCATTGCTGGTCACTGACAACCGCCATCAGTTGCTGACGGCAGTCGTCCTATTGGCTCATGACCAACGATCTGGCAGTTTTCGGCCTTTGATCTGGTCGAAAATAGCCAGATCACGACCAATGATCTGGGCTTTTCACGACCAGATTTTTTTTGGTTCCAGTGCACGACCGACCGGATCTGGTGATCATGCACCATTCAAGCAACTACCGATGGTGGTGATTGACTATCGGCAGTGACTTGGGATGGGTGAGGGTGATTTTGCTACAAATTAAAGATTTATATAGCTGCGGTGTTTTAGCAAAATTTCAAATGTATCGGTTTAAAAAAAATATTCAAAAAATAATAATGAATATAATATTATATTAAAGTTTAAAAGGAGGGCAATTTAGTAATCTGTATAACATACTCACCCATTTATCTCCTAACCAAACATATCAATATAATATACTCATCAATTTATTCCAACATAATCAAACACATTTCCCTAAACATTTACAGTAATCTTCAAGGTAATCTATCTTTCCATTAATATAACATTCTTAGTAATACAATATTCTTTGAATCAAACGTAGCCATACTAGTGTGTCTTACATTATTAATCATCATAGCACTAATCATCCTTAGCCCTTCTCAAGACGCAATGGGATATCATCCTAGCACTTCTTAAGACACAATGGGATGACAGCTTCAAATGTTTACCAGCGGTAATCATTCATTTCCTTAATATTTTTCGCTTTGCTTCAAGTTTTTCGTTAATTTATTTTTTATCCATTTGTATATGCAGTGCACATCCCATTTAGATTTATTTCTAGCTCTATTTTGTTTCCGCCATTGACATTGTTCATCTTCAACATTCACATATGATTTATTTAATTTACCGGACAAGGATCCAAAGAAACAGCTTAAGATCGACATTATGAATAGTAATTAGGCATGTGTCTCAAAATTTTGACTTGATATGATATGATATGAATCAAATGCTTGATATTTTGATGATGGGTAATTCTAACTAAAGCTTTTTATTATTATTGTTATGTGTGATGTGAAGATTTTTTAGGTAAGTAATGAGATATTATGGCGATCAGTGGTTGCTTTCTTGGTATCTTTTGTACCGGTGGTGGGATTTACTCATATAATGGCTCCTCTAAGGATGCCTGAGGAGGATAGTAAGGATAGTTTTTGGAAGTCTGATAAGTGTTTTGAGTTAATTCACGCAACGATTGCATCACTTTTGGTACGAAGCCTTTCACTTAGGTTGGTGTAATGATGATGACATGGCGATGGCGACAATTTAAAGAGGAGCAAAGGAAGGGATGGTTTAATCAGTTTAGAATGTCCCACAAACAAAGTTTCAAATGACAACAATACACAAAACAAAATCACATACACTCTCTACAAAAAAGCAAAATCCCCTCAAACTTTCGCATTACCTTGCATGCATTTTCATTCATGGCTTACCTCTACGTCAAGAAGTCAAAGCTAACCACAAAAAAGAGAATCTCATCGCAAACAGGGCCGTCTCAAGAACATTTATGACCCTAGGCAAAAATTACTTTGAGGGTCTTCTAATAATATAAACATATATTAAAATAAATTTGATAAAATATATCAAATTTATTTTCTTGTCTTTTGAGATGTAAAATCACTAGGAGAGGTGGACAACGATCGGCAGGCTAACTGGGTCAGGTTGGTGGGGGGTTGTGGAGAGCAGATGTTGGAAAAGTGATGGGTGGTGAAATAGGTAATTTCCAATGCTTGGATTGGCCAGAAAAGACTTGAGAAGTCGCAAGCCAAAAGGAATTGGTGGCCGCTGATTTGACGGAGTAAACGAATGAGTTATGATAGAGATTTTGATGAGAGGGTTGAGGGGAGGAAGATGGTGGTGTCAGGGAAGGCCAACAACGCCAGCTACATGCTGAAAAGGTCAAAAATGGTTGTCGTGCACAGTGGAGTTGGGTTATGAGATTCGTAAAAAATCGATCAAATCGAGGGCTATCAAGGTTGGAAAAACACTTGGGAAAATGATAAAGTGATGATTCCAGTCAATTTTGGTGAGAAAATTGATGAGAATCATCTTCAAACTTCTGGCATTGAAAGAGGGATGTAGATAATTTATGTTAATGTCTTAATTTGTGATTGAATTGGGGTTGATTAATTTGAGATATGTAAATGACTATTTAACCTTTTATTGTTAAAAGAAATTTAATGTGTTAATTTAGGGGTGTAAATTTGAATATATGAAACTAGATGTACAAACTACTATTTTATCAAACTTTGGGTGGGAATATATGTAAAAAATTTATAATAAATTCGGATCTTTTTGGCTTTTTTTTTTTTTTCCCCTCCTGACTTGGATAAAAAATCATACACCATTTTTTTTTTAATATATTAAAAAAATTATAAAAAATTTGAGCCTCTATTTTTGGGGGCCCTAGGCAGGTGCCTTACCTGCCTACCCCTTGAGCCGGGCCTGATCGCAAACTAGAACAACCTTGCTTTGGGCACCCAGGAAAGTCGGGTCCCGAACTTGGAGATCATCTTCGAGGAAAATATAAATTAAAAATTCTATAAAAGTTGGAAGAAATTAAAAAAATAAAAATATCAAATATTGAAAAAACAAATAACATATTACAAAATTTTAATTTCTTTCATATTAACCCAAATAATTAGAACTGACCCGAATATTTGGGATAAAAAGCAAAAAATGCACCAGCCGGGAATCGAACCCGGGTCTGTACCGTGGCAGGGTACTATTCTACCACTAGACCACTGGTGCTTCACTGGTTGTCTGTTTTCAGATAAATGTTCATATAGTAATAAAATTGAATTGAAGATATATTAATCTAATTTGTAATTAACCATCTTTATCGAATTTTATGCATACCTGTTGTGTCGTATAATTTTTTGAACAAAAAAGTATTTGAGAAAAGCGTTTCATAAACGTGACAATTTTAAACTAAAACCAGACAAGAAAAGTTAGATTATTTTTAAGTAAAACAATTCATGCAATTGTAAATGGTTATGTGATCATATATATTCTGATTATTGCTAAACGGTAAAACTTTAAAGCAACTTCGATTCTCTTGTATCGTTTTTAGTATAACCAAGTTTATGCTAATCTTAGATGCCAACTAGTTCAGTTGATTGGATCTCTTAATATCGTAAAAAGATCTTAAGATCGAATCTCGTACTTCAATACATAAGTTCGAAAAGAAAATTATGAAAAACGAGACAGTTCCAGACATGAACACGTTTCAGATTCCACTTTCAATTATAGAATATGAAATTTTATTGTTAACTGTCCATTTCCTATGTATCTTGAAATTTAGGGTAAAAAAAGAAAAAATGTCGCTCCAATTGATAATATCCCAATCAGGTAACACAAAACAGTTGAATTTGCATCAGAAAATTTGGGAGTGATGCTATTTAACCTTTGGACTCATTTTTGCATGAAACTGAACAGGGAAAGAGAATAACAAAAAAAGATCTCGAGATTACGACTGTGAGCGTAATTTTATTGTTTCAACTAGCGTAACATCTGGTATGTTAACTTCAAGTTCATAACCAGAGAATGCCAACCAAAATCATGCAACTTCCTAAGCACCGGAAACTAAAGCCTTCCATATAACGAAAGCAAGAAAGATCCCAGAGTTTCTAGTCTCTAAATTGTTTTACACAGATTAATAGTTATTTCATAAATAAGACGGAAGCAGAGAAGCAACAAGATGAGAAGAAAAGCTGTGACCTGTTGTTACTTCATGTTATAGGGGGCTCTTTGTCAAGGATGTTCGGGTGTGTTCTCCAAAAGCTTTGCTCAATTATATTACAGTGTGATACAATCACTTCATTCTGTAGCTTTTCTCCATTCTCAAACGTTGTAGTCTTCTCTGTCTGCAGACAATATGAATCTATCAGCCTGAGAAGTTAAATATATCAAGGGAAACCACTCTAGGAATCACTACCTGACTCATTAGAAATAATATGCATTGTCTCTACGGAAGCGAGGATAACAACTTCAACATGATCTTTCCAACTATGTACATCAAATGGGAGAAAAGTCTATAACTAAGGACAAGCTGGAAAGTGCATAAAGAATTTAAAGAGCTTTTGTTGTTTTTGAATATAGTGTAGATCTAGCTTTCAAACAAACAATTTAGGTATAACCATTGCAGCAAGCACTGAAATAGCCAATATCTCGTCAATAGTTTTCATTAGTAGCTCTATGTAGCACCCATCAGATAATGACCGCTCTTAAGATGAAAGAGAGAAGTTTGGAATAAGAAAGGAAAAAGCCAGCTTGAAAATGGAGCAAGTGGCTTATAAGTTGAGGCCAGGGCTGGAATCGAAGGCTAGGATTGAAACAAACAGGCAAAATATTTAACCCATATATATTCTATTTTTCACTCAACCATTCACAATAATCTTATCATGTTTCAGACTCTGTATATTACATAAATATTGAACTGTGTTTCAGTTAGGAGAATAAGTAAACCTCAATTCGAAATATAGATGAGCCCTGACGGAACATCACTGGTAATTTGTTGTAGTTAATACTGAATTTCTGCAAAAGCAGTTCATTCTTCTCCCGTGCTTGAGTACCCTGCAAGGAAGGAAAAATAAAAATCAAAACAAATTAATTGAGACACTTCATGTAAACGCCTCTCACTTAGCCATTGATTTCAATAAGGCTCCTACATGCATGACATCAATGTTATACTAAGTAGCATTGAAATAATTAAGGACAGAAAATATTTTTATTTATTTATTTATTTATTTTGGAGGGGGGGTGGGGGTGGGGGGCGAGAGAGAGAGAGAAAAAACTGATAAAGGACTCAAACAGAGACCCATGATCTCTGTAAGTATTGACAGTAATTCAGTATAGCAACAATCCATCTATATTAACATTACAGCCAACCACATACATGCATGAATGAAAGTGCTTCTCTATTCTCAACCTCATAATACAAGCAATAGGAATTAAAAAAAAGGAGAAAAAGTAAAACACCAGTGCAAAAGCATACATAACATGTTAAATGGATATAGAATTCGAATTTTGAAGCCAAAACAAAATCAATATGTATAAGAACCCCACATAGGTAAATATGATACATTCAGTAAGGTGATATTTAATGAAGAACAATTCCTGCTATCATAGCATGAAAAGAAACAACCACCTTTAAGCAACCTTGAGCTTCACTTTTGCTTTTACCAGACTTCACAAGCATCCAGAAACATGTATTATACTGATTATTGATGTGGCCTGTAAATCAATTATTTTTGTGAATCACGTGAATTACCAGAAAGTTCATAACAGTATTCAAAAAATAAAACTCAAACTTGAAGACATTATTTATTTTTAGAAAAAAAAAAATAAAAAACAGATTAATTCATTGATAAAATAAAACCTCCAAAATTTTAAGCATCCTCCCGAAAAATAAATAAAGAAAGAATACTCACAATCAACTTGTCTCCATGCCAGATAATCTCGAATAATATCAGATGATGGATAGCAGACAGCTCGTCCATCAAAAGAGGGAGGGTACTTCAAATCATTCTGTGGGAAGAATTCCTTCCATTTCAATACATACATAGAAGTGAAGAAGGAAACAATGACAGACACTATTTCACTGCAAAGATTATACTGAGAATAAGTTTAACGTTAAAAATAATATGCTCATCAAGCAATACGTATGCATGCAATGATGATAACATGTTTGACATAATTCCCTTAATCAATCAGAGAGAGTATGCAGCACAAGTGACTTTCTATAGCCAAAAAGAGATGGTAGGTGACATAAATCAAATGGGTTTTCACAAGAAAATTTACTCTATACATACATCTTTTTTCTTTTTAAAGAAGAAATATATATATTTCTTTATCAAAATCTATAATTGGAACCTAAATACTTGGACAAATGTTTCTAGACAAAACTAGACATATTTGGCATATGAAAAAGCTATGTTTTATGCAAAGATAAACCACAAATCACTCCTCCATTTGAGTATTACTGTATTACTGGGAGAATGGACTAAAATTACCATAGTTTTTCCACTACCAATACATGTGACAAACATCAATAAGAGTTGAGTTTCATCATACAGAAATTTCATGAAGAAGATATCTCCAAAAACAACTTTTTCAAAAAATAGCCATAAATCAAACGTGAAAATGTTGGAATTGCAGAAAATTGTACTGGAAAGACAGGGCAAACCTTGCTCGCCTTTGAAAGAACGGAGATCCCTTCTTCAAAACAAAGCTGGAAGTGATAACAACAATGAAGGGATTAAATATTGGTAGAAGTATTAAGCAGAGCCAACATAAAATATAATAAAAACATATCAGATACCTGTACTCATCACTAACCCCATAAGCAAAGGTAATATCTTGAAACTCTTCTAGAACAGCCACTGCACATGAATTCATAAGGTTCAGAGCTTTCTCATCGTTGGGCTTCTCAAATTCATGAACTTCAGAGAATCTATCAAGAACCATAAAAAGTCTTGACTACTGTTTGCAGCACGTTAGGTGGTTAAACAAACAACAAAATCCCATGTATTACAAGTTTGAAACCAAAATGGTACATGCAATAGTAATCCATTCACAGAGACAGGAATAGTTAGCGGATTTTATGCACTTAAATTTTACATTTATTACATGGTGACTTCTCTAGAATTTTGAGAGTAAATCTACACTCAAAATAAGTTTACTTCATAATTTATAATCCAATTCTATTGTCAATCATTAAGTATAACAGCAACAGGCACTTCTACTTGAATAAATTATTAAGTTTACTTCATAATTTGTTGTCTTGATTTTTCAAAATATACTCGATGAATAAATTAACATAAAGTATCATCTTATATATATTTTTTTTTGTAAGTGAAACTCAATATACCAAGAAGGAGATATTGCTTTGTCAACAAAGCTTACCTGTGAAAATGGCAGCCATCAATTCTAATTACGATCCATGCACATGGCATCAACTTGTTTTCAAATAGAAAGGACCTAACATAATCTGGTTTAATTTTGCTAACATTCTCTTCAAAACACCCCAGCTCCTTAAGAAGACATGGATGCTCACTCCAAAAGTTTCTACCAGCTATATTCTCTGAGTGAACTATCCTCGGCTTTCTCCGCAGTCTTTTGACAGGAGTGCCATCCTCATGATATTTAACAATATCTTCCACCTGATGAAGAAAAAAGGAAATTAGAATTCATATGTCCAGTATTACTTGTTTTCCTTGCTTTCTTGTCCACCCAACTAATTCACTTTGGAAAGTCAATCTAAAATTGCCTCATTTTCCCAAATTCACCCTCAGTGAATTGTAGATTCATTTGTATCCCTCTCATGTTTGAATTAAAAAACAGCAAAATTTATGACTGATAAATAGTGAGCACAAAAATTCCAATAGGAGTGGAGTCTCCAAGAAACAAAATCACCAAGCCTTTATGGTAATCAGTAACATAATTCTACATAAATAGATGGATGGATTACCTCTGTCTTGAAAACACAAGATCCTCGACGAAATAATTCAGGAAGATTTTTGTAGTTGATACCAAACTGCTGAAAAAGAAGCTCATTTTTATCTTGTTTTTGAGTTCCCTGCAGAGTCGAAAGACATAGGATAAGTAAAAATCAACGCCGGGTTTTATGCGCACACACCCACATATATGTATACACAAGACTGTGACAATTATATTTCTATCAAAATAAATAATATACAAAGACAAGCACACAAGCACAAGCAGAATCTAAAATTAGCACCTTCAGAATTTCTTCTGCTTCCTTTTCGGTCTTTCCACTTTTAATCAGCATCCAAAGACAAGTACTATATTGGTTATTCGTATGACCTGCCAAACCAAGCATGAGTTTAGTGCCTTCAGATTCAGGTAATTTAAAAAAAGAAAAGCAATGATATCAAAAAAAAGGTCTGTTTAAGTCCTGCTGTATAAAAATACTTACAATCGTTTTGTCTCCATGCAAGATATGTTTGAAGAACCTCTATTGATGCACAACTTATGACTCGAGAATGGAATGAAGGGGCATATCTCAACCTCTCCTGGGGGAAGAACTCTTTCCATTTTGTGACATACATAGAAGTGAAGAATGATGCAGTGAGGGATAGAATTTTGCTGCATACAATTTCAAGAAGCATATAAATGATACACAATTCCACCAAGGGAGAAAATCTAAATGGCTCATATGAAAGCCTGCATGTAAACATTTTTATGCATTAGGATAGGAAACTGATAAATGTATTTCTAAATTCTGCAGTCATAGTCAATCATCCATTCCGAGCAGCACGGAAGTGTTCCTAGGTACTCCTAATCTTAAGCTTCCCATTACAAAGAAAAGGAAAATATCAATGTAGGTACGCTTCCAATACTTCACATGCATGCCTACTTTCACTTTCACCTCTCTAGAAAACGTTCAGAATGACAGTATATTAACTTATGCATATGTAAGATAGAATTGAGTTTATCTAATTTTTCAGTTAGCAAATATGTAAAAGAACACAAAATAAGGAACAAACACTCTTACAAAGGCCATATAAGATCACAAAATAGGGGAAAAAAAATACTTTTACATAGACCATACAGGCTTGCAAAATTAAGACAAAACACTCTTATAAAGGCATACATACACAAGAAAAGCACAAAACAAACGAAGTAGTACAAATATCACGTAAGGTAAAGATTAACATTTGATAAGCAAGAATATATGACAACACAAAAAAGAGAGGCTCAAACGCTGACACAAGGCTGTACACAAGAAATGTAACAAAAGAGTGTTGGTAGTACATACATATAGAACTGAAAGAAGAGGTTAGACCTCCACATGCTTTAACAGATTCTGGTTTATTGCCGCTTTGGTCTTTTTGGCAGAGTATATTGAGATACTTCAAATTGGTTTTCCCTTTTCCTAAACATTACAATACTCTACTATCCAGTGGCTGAACTTAATGAGGGCTAAACTCCTTCAATAAACGTTTCAAGCATATTTTTTTAAGGAGAAATATTTATTATTAGACAAATATGGAAGAGTTACTCTTTTTTTTTTTTATAAATTTCTCTCTTATATTTTGTAAAGAGCAAACTAACTTGCGGAAAAACTTTATGTTTCGTGTCTTGGATTTCTTCCTTTAAATCAAAGTAACTTTGAATCCTCATGTAAAACTTCTGTCAAATTTTAAGCATCTCAATTTATAGATTTCTTTCTCTAAACTTCATCCATTTGTATTATGTGTCTTCAAATTGACTTTGAAGTTCTATTTCTTTAATTCTCTTTCTCTCTCTCTCTCTTTTTTTTTTTTTTTTTTTTTTTTTTTTGGGTGCCATATATATACAATTGTTTTGATTTGATTTTATAAATATTATAACTTTCTCGCTACACCTCTGCAGCTGTCACCCATTACCACTTATTTTCTTACAACTTCATCAATAACACTATATCAAATGAGTTGCAATTACTAAAACAATTAGACAAAGTTGAACTAAAACCTGGCTCGCCTCTGGTAAAACTTTGTCGTCTTCTTGAAAACAAAACTGCAAATTACACCAGAGTTACACACACAGAATCAAATAATGCACAAATCATCCAAAACTGAACAACACCACATAAATAAATAAGTAAAAAGTTGAGCCACCAACCTATACTCGTCACTATAACCATATGAAAAAACTATATCTGGATACTCCTCCAACATTGCAACTGCACATGAGTTCATCAAATTCAAAGCTCTCTCATCATTTGGTTTCTCGAACTCATGAACTTGAGAAAACCTGCTATAACATTAACAATGAAAACAACCCATGTAAAGAAACCTCATAAGAATTAACATAAAATCGAAAGTTCATTCATTTTTTAAGTTTCGTTTGTTCTCTTCAAAAAAAAAAAATAAAATAAAATAAAATAAAATAAAATCTTATTGAATACCACCTCTGAAAATCCCGGCCGTCGATTCTAACAACGATCAAGTTGGGCATGAAAACTTCATCTTCAACTTCAAAAGACTTCACATACTCATATCTGCTATTCGCCATTTTGCTTTTGCTTCTTGTCCTCTCACAGAACTTCCATCAAACTTGGTGTGCACAAATAAAATCTTAAAATAAAATCACATAGAAAAATCCTTTTATGCGCATTAAACCCTAAGTTGACACGTCACCACTCCACTCCCAGCCGCCAATTCCCTTCTCAGTTTGCACCACACCACCACAAAAAATCCCACGCGCCGCCGCTGCCGCAGCAACCATAAAACCGTACCGGCTGCTGCTCTTGCTCACGCTTGTTTGCGGCTCTAGCTTGAAAATTGCTCTGAATTTGAATAATTTATCGTCATGAAGGAGAAAGAAAGAGAAACAGAGATGAAATTAAGTGTATATGAGAGTTGGGGTCTTTGGGGAAGGGAAGGCGAGATTCTGGCGTGAAATTGTTACAAATTGAAATGTATATTCATTGGAAAATTTATTTAGTCCAATATATTCTGATAATCACACTACAGTCCCTGTCAGTGTCAGATGACTGCCGTTACTGACAAGGCAAGGCCACCGGGCCGGCTTGAGTTTAAATCTAATTTAATATTTTTACTAAATTTTTTAGACCTTAGAGATGCTGTCAGCAAGTCGTGGAGTTTATATATGCGAGAAACTATGATAGTCGACCTAAGCAAAACCAATCAACACAACGATAGGTTGAAATAATAGTCAAGGCCTTCCTTTTATCCCACACACACGTACACTCACGCAGCTTCTAACATCATCTAAAAGGACTAGTGAAAATTAAACAATAACATAAATGGAGAGCATAAATATGAATGAAGAACATGTACAAAAATGAAGAACAATAACATAAAGGAAAACATAAATATTAAACATGTTAAAGAACATAAATTAAAACATATATGGGATCTTTTACTATCTATAACATTTTCACCCTTGAGGTTGAGGGAAAGTTAGAAATATGAAAGAAACATGGAAGAATTATAGTAAAGATGTGTAGAGAAAGTATGGAAGTGTAGAGAAAATATGGGAAAGAAAAGTGAGAGAAATAAACCAAAGTAAACTACATGTTCCCACCCAAGGTTTAGCGAAATAGAAAATTCTCATCCCTGTTTTCATTTATTCTAGATTCTTACTCTTAAATTAACACTATTTTCTTAATTTTAACTTTTTATTGTATCGTGGTGCATGTTAGCACGTTAATATGCATCGATGCTTCTTTGGGCTGAAAGTAGGCTCATGTTAGTAATAAATGGCTCATGTTAGCATCGCCCAAGCGGTCAGATTTTGGCTTTTTTTTATTGATCCTAAACTTCAAAATAACTTCTAAGACCACCTTTGGACTTCCCACGACCTCCTCTATAAAACTCATACCCCCACTTGTCATCATCACTCACTTTTATGGCCACTCCCACACTTGCCACCTTGCGATTTTAGGTATCTTCTCGGTTGTAGTTTGTCTGGGTATGTTTTTTGGTTGTTTCTAACTTTCCATTCGTCGAAAATCGAAGCCCTAAGTCACGTTTATCACCTGCTTGATAAAAGGCCTAAGGCAATTTTCCATATTCCCACCCTTGGTTAAACAGTTAATGACGGTGTTTAATTAAATGTAAGAATCTGAAATAAATGAAACCAAAAGTGGAAACTACCATTTCGCTGAACCTTGGGTGGGATCATGTCGTTTACTCCTCTTTTAATAATAAACTCCCCTGAGTGTGTCGTACCAAAACCCCCTTAAAGAGTTTCCATAGTTCAGCTAAGCTTTTTTAGTCTTCACTTGACTATATCATTTGACTTTGGAAAATAATACAGCCACCGACAGTGATGCACCGAATTTATGCACTGAATGATGTAATAAAATCTTAATCATTAATTTATTTTAACTTAATATTAATCAACGGTTAGAATTTTATTATAGTCGATGCATATATTTAATGCACTATAGTTGATGACTGTAACATTCTTTTTTACTTTTGCAAAAATTGCTTCTGCATGAAAGTACTTTCCAAACTCGTCTCATAGAGTCTTTTATCATATTCTTGTAGTTAACCCGATAAGGTCTTAAAAGGTGATGTGACTCTTGCAAAAATTGCTTCTACAAAAAGTGTACCAATAAAAGCACTTTCCAAACTCTTATATTAAAGTTTAAAAATCCCATAATTTAGCTAAAACTGTTCCTTCACTTCTCAACATGTCTCTGGAAGCACCCGCTCTTACCAAATTCAAACCCGGTTCTATCCCATCAAACCGTCGGTTCACCATCTCGGCGGCCGGTTCACTGTCGCTCATCCATTTCCGCGGAACCGTAAGCTTTCCTCTACCTTTGTTTTCCAAGCGGAAAGTCGTTTTCCGTTCGGGAAGTAAAGTTCCCGCGGTTTTGGAGAAGAATGAGTGTGCTGTGACGGAGCAAACTAACACACCGGTGAGAATTGTGGCCGTCGTCGGTGACGGCTCCGTCAGCCCCCTGAAATGCGCCACGTGGCAAGAGGTCATGCTCCACACCGTAAGTATCATCACTACTTGTTCTTAAAGAATTGATAATGCTACGAAAGTAGCTTCTTTTTCGCTCAAATAATAGACAGTTTTATTTGTCAATTTTTTTTTTTTTTTTTTATAATTTAAAATATAAGACATAGATTAATACTATTATTTTAAATAGGAGCAGATAATATAGTAAAAAGAGAAAAAAATTAATTTTCGGATTGTAAGATATAATGGCTGTTTGTTCGTGTTCTTTAAATAGAATTAGAAGAGGAAGGGAAAAATGAAAATTTAAAGAGCAAGTTTAAATAAATTTGATGTTTGAGCAATAAAATACAATAAAGGGTTTAAGAATACAAAATGTAGAAGGGGACTTAATAAAATTTTCAAGGTTAGCCCTTAGTGGCTCCATTCCTGAATCCTGAGAGCTGACTTGGATATGTAGGGTTCAAAATGATATTGAAATCTTGAACCTTAGCCAAGTGGTTAGGCTTGTCATTTGCTTTCTCAAGGTTTGGAACATGAGTACCTATAGTTCCAAAAGCTATTGTTTCCGGGCTTTAGAGATTGTAAGGCTCGGTAGGGCTTTAGTTTCAAGCTCGGCTCTGTGAAGCAAGGTCGGTGAATTTCTAGATTATAAAAAAAAAAAAAAAATGATAGTGAAATCTTTCTTAATCTTTACTCTTGGAAGTGAGGCTTTGATCAAATTCTCTGTGTTTATTTATGTTGTTGTTTGATTATTGTTGCAATTTATTGAATATTTTGACTACCTAAGCCAAGTTAAAATCAGAGTAATCAAGTAATCATTGGAATGCCATTAGCTATTGATTTCAGTTTTCTTGCATGAGGAGTATGAATTTCCAGCAGATTATGCTGTCGATTTGTTTGTCTATCAGATAAGTGTGCTTGTTTATGCTAGATTTAAGTACCCATTGCTATATTTTCCTCTATGCAGGCGAAGAGACTAAAATGGGTTGATGAAGGATATGAAATGGTTGTGTTCACTGACAATCTCAGTCAGTTGTCTAATCAAACTGTAGTCAATCTGCAAAAGGAATTGAACCATGCAGATATTTTGCTGATTGTTGCTGTCACAGATCAAGAATCTGTGGAGTGGATTCAGGAAAACAGTCGAAATGTCCCGAATATAATCAGCTTCGACTCCTCTCTGAATTTATTGAATAAACTAGGAGGAACTTATGTCCATTCTGAAACAAAAGGGACCATATTTGACAAAATAGTTGGTGTTGCACAGCCAAAGAAAGCAAATGAATCAGTGGAAGTTATCCAAACTGTATCTGAGGCGTGGGATCGACACAATTCTGATGATATAAGGTTCTGTTTGTTGGTTATTATTAATGCTTATATAAGGCCAGTACCAACACTACAGAACTTGAGATCGAAGGGTTTTTCAACTCTGAATTGCATGGTACTGAATTGTGGACCTCAGATACTTAACTGTCTTCTGGATCCTAATTGTAGGAAAGCACTTCAGTGCTTGAACCAGTGCAGTCCAGTTGATCAGGTTTGTAATTATCGGTGTATTGCTTCATATGAAAGTCCAAACCTGGAAGCATTCTCGCTGTGTGTATTACAGAAGAACAATTGCCTGGAATTGGATGCAAAGATTCCTGAAAAACCTTATGTGCCTCCAATGGCGAAGTTTCAAGGAAAAGACTTGTCTCATGAAACCGCTGAAGATCTTTTTGTTGGCTGGTTGGGGAGTCTGGATTGGAGTTGGCGTGTTGTGGCTGGACAAAACCCAGCCTATGATCAATTCCCTTGCCAGTACCAGCTATTTTACAGGGGAAAAGCAAAAGGGTCGTTTTGGTATGAGCCTGTTTTTCAGGTTAGAACTCTAGAGGGGCGGCTGGTCTGGAGGAGGCGGAAGTATCGGGTTAAGAGAGACAAGATTCCAGGGACGTTTTACTTCACTGTCCTGGATAATGGGGTTGTTTCAAAAGAGTTTTGGACGATCGTATATGTATCTGATGATTTCAGTTGGGGTTTGTTTCATTATCATGGTGCTGCAAGAGTTGCTGGGCAGTCTTATACCGGAGCAGTGCTTGTTAGTCCGAATGGGGCTTACCCAAATGAAACAGAGAGAATTAGATTAGTTACTGCTTTGGACAAGTGTGGAATTAAAGAATGGGAACTATTTACAGTTGACAATTGCTCATGCCAGGATCCTCCATTAGGAATTCCAGAGGGTTCAAGTTTGCATTCTACAACTGACGTCAAAGACCAGAACTGGTCCTGCGTTTAGTTTTATATGGCGATGAGCCAATAAGTTTCACTGTGTCTTAATTGGCTCCTGGATCCGGAATTAACAGGAAGATCGGCAGACTACTTGAAGGAATTGAAGATTATGCATTCATTTGCCATTAAAAGGTCAGTCAAATTTGAAAGGCTCTTTGATGGCTATTTACACTCAACAGGTATTCTCTTTGATAACGATCCTTACAGAATTGGTGAAAAGGAAAAGACATTGTCTGGATATGGTTAGATGATAGCCACCCCCCTCCCCCAAAAAAAACCCAAAAAAAAAAAAAAAAAAAAAGTAACTGAGGGAATAAAATATAATGCATATTTCTGTATAGTTCATTTATAATATGATGGATTAATACATGTTGTGAAAATTAATTTTTCTTGTTTTGAATGAATACAGATGATTTCTAGCACCGATGATTTCTTTATCTTTTACATTAAGACTTTCTGCTTGAAAATTTTTGAGTGAGTACAATGAAAAGACAGAGTACACTTCTTCTATTGATATTCTAACTTAGATTTTCACTTTCAAGTTCCAAATCTTGCAACTCTCATTGATCAAACCTGGAGGAAGCTTTTACTGATTTTGTGTAGGCTCAAGTAAATTAGAATATGCATAATATTGATTTTTCTATAAGACATGTTAATGGTGGAGATTGCCTTTGCAACCAGAATTATACCAAAAGAAAGACATGATATTGAATTATTATTTGCATAAAAGATAATTCATGGCTGAAAATTTTATATTGTTTTAGAGAAATGTCACACTATCACAACTCACTCAAGACAATATACATGTCTCTAAAACCAATCCAACAACTTTGAGAGCTCTATGAAATTAAAAAACAATGTGAACGAAGAAATGACACAGGATTTCACTGATGAACCAAATCACACCATATTGATATGGAAGATGTTGCGAACGTAAAAAGATTGACTTGAAAAGGTAAACATTCTGTGATTCATAGTGATTTTGCCACTCTTAAAGTTGACTCGGATGAAGATTGGCTTCGCTCCAACGATTTCAACATAAGATAAATGTCTAAAATATGTATATTTGATGACGGTAGCCATTTGAGGAACAGTAAGTTCTGGTGCTTCATTTCTTGTATGAGAATTCAGCTTCAAACTCCTTTTTAAGCCGTTCTCTAGATTTAGTTTTAGCCGCAAAGACAACGTCGTCCATAAATCCTCTTTCTGGAAATTCGTCAGGAACAAGGCTCTGGTATATCTCAAACTGTTCTGCAGCTTCCTCCTTTTTATCCAGCAAACTATAGATTATACCCTGTCAGAATGCCAACAACCAACAACTGGTTATTCAGAGTAACACTTCAAAAAAGAAATGCACTTCAATGCCATTTAAGGCTTATTTTATCCTTAGCATAATTCTAGCCATTTCCTTATTTTTGTTGTAAAATATGAACTTGAACGGTTGCAAACTGTCTTAAGCCTAGACACCAATTAGCTGTGTGTAAAGTGAATTTTTACTTGGCAAAGATAAGGTCGGAAATCACGAGGATTTTCATTCACCAGATCTTGAAATTGTTTCAAGCCCTCCTCCAACATACCCTGCAAGGGAAATAATATTGCAAATGGTCATATTCACAATCGAACCCCACCAATCCAACAGAATTTTTAATTTTCTCGCTGTGCGTATTCATCTGTACTTATCAGTAGCTCCAACATGAAGGATGAAACTATCCATCAGAAACTTGAGCTAGCTTTCCCCACACACAATGGTAAATGAGAAATGCATTGGCATATATACGAACTTAATAAGAGAAAATCATTTAACAAGTCACCTTCATAACATGCATTTGTGCAATTAGAATTCTTATGTTCCGCTCCTCGGCGACCCTTTTTTCACGGCGTGCAACTTCCAGAGCTTTTATTAGCATCTCAAAAACAGCCGGGCCTTCATGGTTTTTGTGCATCACCATTGCCAGACCCTGCAGAAACAGAAGGCTTAAGTCAGCTGCTGAGAGAAAAAGAAAAGAATTTAAATAGGTTAACCATTTCATTACATGCATGGAAATGCAAAAAAGTGCTTGGATATAGTACAAAATAACTTAAATGACTTTGAACAATTGTACCATAATTGGTAACAGAATACAAGTTGCATCAAGGAAAGTCATCTGTTTTATTCGGTATCAACTAGCAATCTGCATATGTTTTGAAAATGACAAAGAAACTTTAGCCAAACAGCAATTAGACAGGTTATCCAATGCAAACTCCACAAACCGATACTTCACAGGAAAATGATGGTAGTTAGACTTAAACACCAGGAAAGAAAGGGGTTTGTCAATCATATGGATGAGTACAAAGGAATATCAACGTTACTACTATCCACAGGTAAGCATTTTCGACTTAGTTTGCCAAAGAGACACCAATCAATTATCTTGCTGAGTAATCTTCATGTCTAGGGAGAGATATAAAACCAAACCTCATCAGAGCCTGAATAACTGAATTAAATCCTATAGTGAATCCGACCAATGCTCTGTACATAAAATCAGATAACAAAACGTTGACCTTTTCCTAAAGAATCGACTAAAACATCTAAGTAAACATGAACAACAAGAGTGATGAAATTTCACATCTAGAAATGAACTACTTAGGCAAATTTGGACTGAATTCAACATCGTAGTGGAGATTCTAAATTTAAGTAATAGAAGAAAGTTGAAATTTGTTTTTCTAGACCTTGATAAGTCCTATACACAAACAAGAACCACATCAAATACATTGCATAATCATTGGAAACCTAACACACAACACATAACCAACCAAAAATTTAAATTCCAGAATCCATATATACATGCAAAGCTCTAAGCAAAAGAGGCCTCTCCTTCAAGATTTCCTTTAAGCAACCTTAAACCCTAAACCTGAATTCAACATCCCAAGAGATTATCGAGTTGAGCAGTCAAATTATAGTTCTAGACCTTCCAAAGTCCTATCCACAAACAACAACCAATCATATACATGGCATAATCATGATAACAAACAGCACAAAACCAAATAAAATTTTAAATTAGAGAATCCATACATACATGCAAAGCTCTAAGCAAAAGAGGCCTCCTCTTCAAAATTTCCTTAAACAACCTCTTGGCCTTACTCAACTGCCCCATCATCTCATAACAAAGCGCCTGCAACAGCCTCCATTCCACCTCCCTCGGCTCGATTTCGATCAGCCTCTCAACATACTTCACAGCCTCCTGAGTCCTCCCTCTTCTCATCTTCCCATACACAACCACCTTCAAAGCCTCCACATTTCTGGGCTCCTTCTTCAAAACCCTCTCACACATCTCCTCTTCTTCATCTTCCCCCATCTGGGTCTCACTCTTCTCCCCCAAATTCTCACTCATTTTACTCATTTTCCCAGGCAATGCCCAGCCTGGTCTCACGCTAAACCCAAAACAACCCAAAAAAATCACTGATCCCACAACAAAAGTCACAACTTTTTCTTGCAAAAACTTCAAAATTTCTGTTTTTGATGATACAGAAGGGCTTGAACAATGAAGTTTTGAACCGGGTTTGTGAGAAACGTGGGATGTAAATGAGAGTTTTTGAGGTTTGTGTTTGTGGGGAAGACTTATGAATGGTGATTTGTAGAGGCTTAGGGTTTTGGGGTGGTAAAATTGTGACTGTAAATGAGGAGAGAAGGGTTTGATTGAAGCCATTTCTGAGGTTAATTGAATTCTCTCCCAAAGAAGAGAGTGATTATCAGAGAATGATCAAATTCTCCATTGAAGAACTCTTTTGAGGGTTTTGGGTTTAGTGTTATCTTCAGAAATTTTTGGGTTTTAGGAAGATGACGCAATAAATAAACGGCAGCGTTTATTACCTAGCCTAAAAATTCGGTGAAAATTACCGGTATTGTAGCATTATTCATCCTAAGAATTGATTGAAGTTTATCATACTATTTTTTTTTTTTCTTATTTTAACTTGTGTTGTAAAAGTTAGTAAGCTTGATTAAATTATATTTTTATCCCTCTCATAAGGCTTGAGAACTATCTTATCCTTGCTTTCAATTGGTTTTAGGCTAATTGTATTTATGTTGAATTTGTATAGACAAACATATAACTATTTGGATTAAATGGTCTAAACTTATGGACTCGTTTAATAATAAGATAAATTAAATAGGTTATGTAACTTGTTTATAACGCAATTAACTGTTTATGATACAAAAATTTATACAAAAATTAATTAAGATACAGTAAAACATGAGTACCAAACAAGTTAATTGAATTATACGTCTTATAAACGACTTAAATGAGGTAAACATATTATAAATGCATTAAATAAGTTATTAAATGGGTTAAGTCATATTGCGACATAAATATAAAAGATTATTAAATGGGTTACATTGATTATAGTCATGTCTTTCTTTTTTTTTTTTTTTTTTTTTTGGTATTCAAGTGTGTTTAGATTAACTTGTGTACACTTCGACTATTCTTTTGATGTCATAAGTTAACGGTAAGATAAGTCTCTAATGATTACTCTTTATTAGTAGTTGTGAAGATTATAACTAGATATATAGGTAGGGATGTTCAAAAGAACTAATTAGAACCGGAATCGGTGGATACCCAAGGTCTGGTTCTGGTTCTTACCCAGAACCGACCGTCAATTGGTAGGTTCTGGTTCCAAATTTTTAGAACTGGAACGGAAACTGAGATTAATATGAAATAAAATTAAAGAGTGGGAGGTTAGTTGAAACTTTTATAGAAAAAGTAATGTGAATACATTTATATTTATATTTAATAATATTTAAAGTAAGTTAGTTTGACTTTTGAGAATCTACCGATACAAAGTAATGGAGTTTGTAATTTTATTTTTGTTAACAAATCCCGCGGGAAGGGGGGGTATTTGTAAGTTTTAAGAGTTTTTTTGCCATTTTAAAAACTTTTGGGGGGTAATGAATTTTACAGGGTACTCGGAACTAGGAACCGGGTTTAGAGTTTAGGTTCTGGGTATTTAGGAACCAGAACCGTCAATTCCAGTTTCGGTTTCAAATTTCAAGGAATCGTTGATTCTGGTTTCCGTTCCTTCAAAAAATACAAAGTACCCGGAACCAAACACCCTTATATATCAGTTCACTAAAATATCATAACTACTTTATTTTTGCCCCTAATTTCAATAGGTAATGACGTCACCCCATTCTTGGTTAACTAAGGTCATACTTTAAAAAAATGGGGTTATTTTGTTAGTTTTTCAAACTAAAGGGGCAAAATAGTCATTCAATCTAAAACTTAAACGCAAAATTTAGAGCAACTTCTCTGTGTTTATAGAGGCAATGATTAAAAGGTCATATTGGCATTGAATTTAATTAAAAGGTCATATAGTTTTTTCAGTCTTTACTAAATAGCCTTATTTTTTTATTAAGACAAATTAATAACAATTAAACACTAATCATAGGTTAATTAAGATTAATAAAGGTATTGAGTAATCTTTCAAAAATTATATTTTGTCCCCAAAAACCTAAAATTGTTGCATTTTAACACAAACCCAAATCAAAGAAATTGCTCCCCTCTATCTCGCCATTACCATTAGAATAGCCCCCATGTTGCTGTTTGTTCTTAGCAAAACTGAAGCCCCTCCTCCTCCTCCTCCTCTACATCTTCTTGTTCCTCCGCGATTAACATCTTCTTCTTCAGTTTAATTGGGTTTTCTTTTCAAGTTGGTTATGATTACTGTATTTGTAATTGCAGAGTCTGTAGATAATTGCATAAAGATGGTAAATTTTTTTCTTAAATATTCGGACAGTTTGTCCCTTTTATACAAGTCTTTCGATTTTTCCTGTTTGAAATGTTTTGAAACTCTCTCTCTCTTCCAGATGTTTCATAATTGCAAAGTTGCTATGTGCTTCCTCGCATAGCTGATTGTGCAAAGAATGATCGTGATGCAGTGCTCCGTGCAAGGTATGACTACTCTTCTTGAATTGATGATGCAATTTTATGCTGTTGTTCAAATCATCTTTTTTTTTTTTTGGATTGCAGGTGTTGTGAATATGCCCTGTTGATATTAGAACATTGGCCTAATGCTCTAGAAATACAACGATCTGCTGATCTATACGAAGATTTTATTAGGTGTTGTGTTGCTGATGCAATGAGTGAGGTATTTTGATTGGAAATTTCATTTTCCTTTTCTTTTTTTCCAAAATGTTTGGAGACTTGTATTTGGTCTCTGTGTGCTTTCTTAAACTTTCTATACTATTGATACTTGATTTTGACACCAACTACTCGCACGTGTGAAATGCTAAAAGGACTTAGAAGTCACACGTGATATGAGGGGGGGTTGAACTAAATAAGGGGTGAAGAACAACATTTAAAGTGGTTCGGATGCTCAAAAGTGAATCCTATGTCCACTGATATTGTATTAATAAGTGAGATCAGGTCGCGTTCATCAAGCTGAGTTACAATTTGAGAGAGAATACAAGAAAGAGAGAGAGAGAGAGATATTTCAGCGTAAAATTGGCTAATCCCTCAAAATGAGAGGGAAGTCCTCTATTTATAGTATGAGAGTTCAAGGTAATGATTATAAAAGCTACAAGTGGGTAGGTGCCGCGCAAATCCTTCCTTTGTGTCCTATTGGTCACCTGCCCGAGGGATTTCCTCGATCAAAGCAGAGCTTTGACACATGGGTGATCTCTAGCCGCTTGTTGGCCTGACGCTCACCTGCATGCCAATTGAGCTAGGCGCGACGTGGTCGCACCTGGACGGCATAGAACCCTTCTGAGCTCTGACCAACCTTTGCTGACGAGGCTCCACGTCAGCCCTACCTTTTCAGGCATAACATATATAATTGACTAAAACACTTCATATCATGTTCTTTTTCCTTTTTCTCTACGTCGCTAGCAATATTGGTAAGGCCATAGTTTAAAGGGATTGTGGTTTTGACGGATAATAAACGAAGAGGATGGTGGGATGCATAGGCGACATGCTTCTCCTTCTCTTTGTGATAGAGGTGGAAAAATGTCATTTACCTCTCATGTATCAGCTTCTTCCAACCTTCGTGGGTACGGAACATCTACCATGGTTGCAATGGATAGAAGTTCGAGTTTATTTTTTGGGACCTCTCTCTTATCTGGACTTCTTTTGTCACAAACAAAGTCCCTAAATAAAGGTTCTGAACGTAGTCTGGAAAGTGTTCTACATGCAAGCAAACAAAAAGCCACCGTAACGCTCAGAGGTTTGGAAATATCTGAGAAACAGAATCCTTCTGGCCCTCATATCTTTACTTCAACAATTAGCCGCTGCTGTGCCTTTTCGGACATCTCCTGCAACTCCACAGCCTGTCGCTTTCTCTTCAGGTTCATCTTTGCCCACATCTTCACCTCCCCATTTCTCTAATGGGTCAACTGAGTTGCAGCATCAAGTTCCAGATGTTATTGAGGAGACAACACCTTATGGGGAATCTTCATGTGTTCTGTTTTCAGCTCGTAAGGTACCCCTCTTTCTCTCTGATTCATTGCAAAGGCATCCTTATTCATCATGAACTAACGTTGCTGTAGTATCTCTAGTATTTGCATGTGTTAAATCATGAATATTACGTGTTTTCATATTTCATTATATTCACTTTTATTTTGTTATGTAGGTGTTGAAATAGAAGAAACAAGCAAATGTACCCAGTTTAGGTTTTGGGGCGCTAGTTTCTCCTACGAGAGAGGTTTTACCAATTTATCTTTTACTTAGTAGATAAAGCCATCATTTAGTAACGTTAAGTCATTCCATGATGCAGTGGTGACAGATTGCCTGAATGATTAATGAGTTAAAGTGTAAACCATTTATCAGTAATCACAACCAACTTTGAAGCAGCGAGGGGAGGAATAAAGGAAGGCATTTGAAGCTAGTGGAGATACAAAAGCATGGAATAGATTTAGCTGTGTTTTTTGGGTAGCAGAAAGTGTATTTAGTTAGAAAGGTGCAGGATCCATGGAATCTTTAGAGTCGGGACTGAAAGTGTATTTAGTTGAGACAAAATGCATGTTTTGGTATGTAGTTATTTTTGGAACTGCTAGAACTGCTGGAACTATCATTTTCCAGATTTCTTTATTGTAGTTGCTTCCTGTTAATCAAAATAATTTCCTCAGTTTTTCTCTTAATTGATTGTTTGGTGAGTGAGGATCTTGGTTGACAGATTTTTAGGCTATTGTTTTATTAGTTTTTCTCTTAATTTGTTGAACACTTATTAGTGAATCAGAAAACAATTTTAATGGTTTTAATGAGTACTTTATATGAGATTATCAAATTAGCCGTAGTCGCTTAATCGATGTGGGCTATTGCTTAAGCGATCAAGGCTTATCTATACTGGATCGCTTAAGCGAGAGCTGACAACGCTTAAACGATCGTATACTTGAGGATTATTTAGACACAAATTAGACTTAGTCGCTTAAGCGATGTGGGCTATTGCTTAAGTAGTCAAGGCTTATATATGCTAGATCGCTTTAGCGAGAGCTGCGTCGCTTAAGTGATCGTGTACTTGAGGATAATTTAGACACAAATTAACCTTGGTTGCTTAAGCAATGTGGACTATCGCTTAAGCGATCAAGGCTTATCTGTACAGGATCGCTTAAGCGAAAACTGACATCTCTTAAATGATCTTGAATTTGAGAAGGAATAGTCAAGTACAAAGAAAATTGGCTTTGGTCGCTTAAGCGACGTAGGCTATCGCTTAAGCGATCATGACTTATCTGTATATGATCGCTTAAATGACAACTGACATCGCTTAAGCTATCAAGTGTAATTTGCTTTTGTACTTAAAATAATCCTTCTCAAATACACAATCGCTTAAGCGATCTAATATAAATAAGCTGTGATCGCTTAAGCAGAAGCCTACATCGCTTAAGCGACCAAGGCCAATTTGCTTCTTTTCTCCTCAATCTTTTGATATTGTGAATGTTTGAGCGAAAAATTATATTCCGTAACGTGGGAAATGAAATACGTTTTTACTAACGTGTCATACTAGTGTATTATGACATTCCTGTATGTATCAAAGAGTTGTTAGTCACATATCGTAGCTGTTATATTTTGATGTTGTCAACATCCAAGGTTTAAATTAACATTAATAATCTTCTTAAATGACCTTAATATGTGTTGATGAAATTATGTTGTCAAATAATCCTTCTTAATTGACCTTAATATGTGTTAATAACCGATGTCGTTTAAGTGATCAAGGCTAATTTACTGTTTTTCTCTTGAATCTTGTAATGTTTTGAACGTCCCAAGTTAACATTAACGTTACTTAATAAGGGGTTGTCAAATAATCCATATAAAAAAAAGATAGCTTAAGCGATCTAGTATATATAAGTTTTGATCGCTTAAGTAATAGCCCATATTGCTTAAGTGACCAAGGCTAATTTGTGTCTAAAGTTATCTTCAAGTATACGATTGCTTAAGCGATGTAGGTCTCGCTTAAGCGATCTAGTATATATGAGTCTGGATCGCTTAAGCGATAGCCCACATCGCTTAAGCGACCAAGGCTAATTTGTGTCTAAACTCATCCTTAAGTACACAATTGCTTAAGCGATGCAACTCTCGCTTAAGCGATTCAATATTTATGCCTTGATCGCTTAAGCGATATTCGACATTGTTTAAGCGACTAAGGCCAATTTGTGTCTAAACTTATCCTCAAGTACACGATCGTTTAAGCGATACAACTCTTGCTTAAGCAATCTAGTATTTATACCTTGATCGTTTAAGCAATAGTCGATGTCGCTTAAGCGACCAAGGCTAATTTGTGTCTAAACTTGTCCTCAAGTATACGATCACTTAAGCGATGCAGCTCTTGCTTAAACGATATAGTATTTATGCCTTGATCGCTTAAGCAATAGTTAACGTTGCTTAAGCGACCAATGCCAATTTGTGTCAAAATAATCGTAATCACTTAAGCGATGTTAGCTCTTACTTAAGCGAGCCTACACAGATTAGCCTTGAGTAAGCAGTTCCGGGTACCCTGCATTTTTCGGGGGAACTGAAATCGCACAGTACAGGTTTCCAAAAAAAAGAATCGGAAATGGAATCGCATAGTGCAAGTTCTTAAATTCAAGGAACCAGAACCTAAAATGCAGGTTCCGGTTACTTTCTTGGGTACCTTGAAAAAAATTAATTACCCCCCTATTAGTTTTAAAAATGACAAAATTACCTTAAAAGTTTACAAATACACCCTTGACAAATTTTGATTACTCATTCATTTGTGTCCAATGAGACTCATAAATCCTCTAATATCTAGGCAATACTTGAATTCAATCAATTCATCACAATTCACATAAAATTCCTCAATCAAAACTAAAACACAAACAATTAATTAAATTAATTAAACAATCATACTATAAATCTATAATTTAATATTATAATTAATTAAATTTCTAATAATTTAATTAAATATTGCACTAATGTTCTATAATGTAATGTTATAATTATTTAAATTTTTAATCATTTAATTAAGTAATGTACTAATGTTTATAATGTAATGTTATAAATTTATAATTAATTAAGTAATCATTTAATTATGTAATGTTATTATTAATTATAATGTAATGTTTTAATTAATTAAATTTCTAATTATTTAATTAAGTATTGTACTAATGTTTATAATAGAATGTTATAATTAATTAAGAAATCATTTGTTTATAACATAATGTTATAATTAATTAAGTAATCGTATTATAAATTTATAATGTAATGCTATAATTAATTAAATTTCTAATCATTTAATTAAGGTGTTGTGCTAATATAGTAAATTACTAATGTTTATAATATAATGTCATAATTAATTAAATAATCATTTAATTATGTAATGTTATAATTAATTATGTGATCATACTATAATATAATGTTATAATGAATTAAGTAATCATACTATAAATATTTAATGTAATATTATAATTAATTAAATTTCTAATAATTTAATTAAGTATTATACTAATATTTATAATGGAATGTTATAATTAATTAAGTAATCATTTTTTTATAACGTAATGTTATAATTAATTAAGTAATCATAGTATAAATGTATAAAATAATGTTATAATTAATTAAATTTCTGATCATTTAATTAAGTATTGTGCTAATATAGTAAATTACTAATGTTTATAATATAATGTTATAATTAATTAAGTAATCATTTAATTATGTGATCATACTATAATGTAATGTTATAATGAATTAAGTAATCATATTATAAATCTTTAATGTAATATTATAATTAATTAAATTTTTAATCATTTAATTAAGTATTTACTAATGTTATATGATAGAATGTTATAATTAATTAAGTAATCATTTGTTTATAATATAATTTTATAATTAATTAAATAATTATACTATAAATCTATAATGTAATGTTATAATAATTTAAATTTTTAATTATTTAATTAAGTAATGTACTACATTACTAATACAATGTTATAAACTTATAATTAATTAAGTAATCATTTAACTATAATGTAATATTATAATTGATTAAGTAATCATTAAACTAGTAATGTATTAATGTTTATCAATTTATCATATATAATTAATTAATTACTAATTTACTATAAATATACTTAGAACTTGATAATTGAAATAAATAACTAAATATTTATTATTATTCAATCAAATATATTATTTTATTAAAAAATAATTCTTTTAATTAATCATAATTCCAATTATACATTTAATTAATCAAAACTTTAATATCAATATATTAAAGTTTTTTATATAGTGTAGTTTATATGTAATAAGTATAATTGTATATTTATTTAATTAGGTTATTCTAAAATTTTAACTTTTTCTATTTAAATTTTTTTATATGTAAAATTACAATAGACCCTCAATTCTTCACAGATATTTCATTTCAGCCCAGATTCCAAAATAGGGTACCTGCCGTAGGTTCCAAGTAGGTTACAAACTGGGTAACCGCTGGAGGTTCTTTTTTCTAGGTTCCAGTTTCTCCACATGTAGGAATCGAAACCGGAACCGCACAGTGTCAGTTCTAAAAAAATAGAACCGGAACCTACCTGCACAGTGTCGGTTTCGGGTAGGTTCCGGTTCTAGTTCTAGTTCTACCCGCAATTCTGGTTCTACCCGCTATCCGTGCTCAAAATCATCCTTGCTATCATCTATTTAAACTTCAAACAAAAAGATATCTAATTGTCAACAAATTGGCCTTGGCAACTGATAAAACAGTAGCCTAAAAATCTGTCAACCAAGATCATCACTCCAAACAATCAATTAAGAGAAAAACTAAGGAAATTTCATTGATTAACAGGAAGTAAATACAATCAAAAAATCTGGAAAATGATAGTTCCAACTGTTCTAGCAATCCCCAGAATAACAACCTACCAAAACAAGCCAATTTTGCCTCAAACTAAATACACTTTCAGTTCCTACTCTAAAGATTCCATGGATCCTGCCAACCCTTTCTAACTAAATACACTTTCTGCTGCTCAAAAAACACAGCCAAATCTATTTCCAGTTCCTCCAGCAACCCCACCAAAAGCTGATCCTTGTTGGCTGCTAAATCCAAATCCACCACCACCTACAAATGTTTACATATGACAATTATCAGCAAAACCATCTCACCTTCACAAGGACTTAACCCAAAACAAGGGAAGATCAATATAAAAACTGAGAAAATTAATACAGACATAAATACAGAAACAAACAAGACATTCAATACCATCCTCCATGTTTTCATGGATTTCAGTTTCTTATCAAGCTTTCTTTTTCTTCTCCGCAATTTCTGTAACATAGACAACTGCTGCTTATACACCAACTGAAACAATGTAAAGAACTCCTCTGTGAATGGATTCCCAGCTTCCTTAAACTTCTTTAGTTCCTCCAACGTCTTGACATACCTTTCCTCATCAACCCCATCCTGTAATCCCATTTCTTCCTCAAATTGCTTAATGGCAAGTTTAATAAATTAATTGGCTGTTTCAAGCACGCTTAAGGCAATTCTTAAAAACAGTGCAAAAATCTAAGATCTGGATGCTACTCTCAAAGCACTCTTCAACCAAATTAAACAATTCTTGATTATTCCATTTATCTTTCTTGCATTCTAGAATTACTTTGGCCACTTCTTGGTTCATATCAAGAAGAGATCCGATGACTTCTTTGAGTGAGTCAAAAGACAAGGAACGAACCTCAACACCGGTAGAAAGTGAGCTGATAACACGACTGGTACATTCATGAATAATATTATCAAAGGATTGCAAGTTCGGATCAAGTGTACAAGCGGCCTCATATGAGCTAAGATCAGCTGAGAATTGGGAATCAATGTTCATTTGGAGGGCTGGTGGTGTTGCATCACCACCTTTCTTCTTGCTAGATTGTCCTCCCATCATGGTGATCCAATTGATTACAAAGGAAAAACCCAGAATTGTATTTTAGGAACTTATTATTCAAGCTTTACTATGAAAAAGAATGGTATGCAAGCTTGGGGTACTGAATATTTTAGATTAAAAAACCCCAGAAAACTAAGATCTTCAGAATCGAAACGGCAATCCTTTAATTTGACTAAGATGACAAAGATATTTATGATAAAGACAGAGTACAGAATGTCAAAACCAAGCTGAACCAATAAATTAAAGCAGAACCAAATTGCACCAACCACTACTCTACGAAATCGAGTCAAACTTAGATCCAAATGAAAAACCCAAAATCAATATGTAAACTTTAATTGAGAGAAATTTTGTTGAACTTAAAAGTACTTGAATTTCAATCGAACTAAATAAGATAAACTCTCACTTGGATCCTCGGCAAAAAGTAAACAAGCTGAAATATGAGCTAAACCCCACAACCAAGCTCTCTTTCGATATAATTGAAAATGCGCCAATAGATGTTTGATAATATATAATAATGTGTTATCAAAACCCTTTAGTAACTGTAATAACACCGGAATTCACATCCGGTTAACATAGCATTCCCCTTTAACAATTAGTTTCAATTAAAGCGAACAACTTTACACAAAACTAAAAATCAACCCTTAATTCGTATCGAAATTCTCATCCTGGTACAAAAGAATTCACATTTAACAAATAATACTAAGGAACTTCCCATTAAAGCAAACACATTTAGTAAAAACTTAAAATCAAACACAATCAGGTACCTCAAAATTCATAGCTCAAAACTAAACATATACTGTAAATTCTCCAAAAGCAATCCGAACAGACAACTCAGCCCTCCGTTTCTCTTCAAGAAGCCGCTCCACTCTCTTCACTGCACCATCTCACGGCTCAGGCTCCCTCCTATTTGAAGAAAAACACGTCACTCCAACCTCTTCTTATCCATTTTTGGTAGACCCAATGGTGCCTACAATTTGGGGAGTGGATGGGTTTTTTTCGGTTTCTTTGAGGATCTCAGCCATTGTAACTTAACCGGGAACGAATTTGCAGAAAATTGGAAGAAAAAACGAGAGAGAGAAAGGTGTTTGAATTGTGCTTTGAGAGAGAGAAACTGAGAAAAATGTGTATTGTCCACGGTGCTAAAAAAAAAAAATTGTAAAAACCAAACCGAATTGGTAATGAAACCGAAAAAATATTTGATTATGGTTCAAAATATTCAAAAAATCAAATTTTTGTTTTAGTTATCGGTTCAAAAAAAAAAATAGTTAATCGAAACTAGTTTTTTGTATCGGTTTTATAAATATATATATAGATATTAAATAAAAAAATTATTTTATTTTAGACTTTTATTTATATCAATTTTTAATGTATTATTAATAGTGATCAATAAATATGTATGTTTAATTTTTATTTGGATATGTATTGTTTATATTTACCATTTAATTTAGGAAAAAAATTAAAAAAAAAGTTTTATAAGAAAAAAGAGAAAATCAGTTCAAAATTATTTTTTTAAAGTGGTTAACCGGTTTGATTTCGATTCGAAAATTTTCCCAAACTAAAAACCAGTTTGGTTTAGAAAATCGGTTAATCTCTAACACCCCTAGTTTTGCCTTTCAAATTTTAAGCCAACTTCTTTTTACTATCCTTTAACTCACGAACATTTAAATCTTTTCATCCTAACCCTTTTCTATGCTTTAATTACATTTAAGTGTGCCACGTCAGATTTTTAAACCCCACAGAAAATCAAAAACCTTTCCAAAGGTTATATCCTCAATTCGAAACTTAGAAAGCATATAAGTTAAATTTCCTCGCGTTTACACTCATAAACCCTACAGAGAGAGCGCTCCTAAACCTTTAGGCGGGAGGTTGCAGACGACGACGAAGAAGAAGAACACAGAAAAGAGAATCATTATTAATTAATTGTGAAAAAAAAAATGAGGAAGAAGGTGGATGAGCGTATAAGAACGTTAATCGAGAATGGCGTCAAGCAACGGCAACGTTCCATGTTCGTCATCATCGGCGACAAGTCACGTGACCAGGCACGCTCTCTTTTTTGCTGATGAATTAATGCTTTAAGTTGTTGTGTTGTATGTAGAGTGATGAGAAACTTCAGTTCAGGAATGGTGTTGTTTGTTGTTGTTGTGTTTGTGCAGATTGTTAATCTTCATTACATGCTCAGCAAGGCCGTTGTCAAAACTAGACCGACTGTTTTGTGGTGCTACAAGGATAAGCTTGAACTCAGCAGGTTTTTTTATTTTTCATGCTAACCCTAAATTTTAATTTGTAAGTAAATTTAATTGAAATTGTAAGTTTTGGGTGCAAATGGGAGTTGTTTTGACACTGTTAAAAGCATTTTTGAATTGTGAAAAAAGCTCATTTATATATATTTGGATAGAGTTTGGCTGAAATTGATTAAAAAAAAAAAAAAAAAAAAAAAAGTAGATTTTTGGGTTTTTTTTTTTTTTTTTTGAGAGAATCTGCTTTTGCTTGTGATCTGTTTGCTAATCAATGTAATGGAGTTACAAAAACTAATTTAATCGAAAAATATATTTGGGGTGCGCGTGTGAGTTATTTTGACACTGTTAAAAGCGGTTTTGAGTTCTCAAAAAGCACATTTATATGTATGGACGTTGGCTGAAATAATGACAGTTAAAAGTAAACAATCGTGGTTTTTTGAGAAACACTTGATTTTTAGATATTTTTAAGAAGACCTGTTTGTGCTTGTTTGAATGAAGAACAAAAAAAGATAATGTAAATTTGCCTTGTATTGATTTACATGGTATTGATAATTATATACGTTTTGAGTTCTTTATATTATGGACTTTGGTGTGTGTGGATTCATTCTTGATTTGGTTGTGATTATTCAGTCATAAGAAAAAGCGTGCAAAGCAGATCAAGAAGTTAATGCTGAGAGGGCTGCTAGATCCTGAGAAAGTTGATCCTTTTCAACTTTTTCTTGAAACTGGAGGGTTAACATATTGCTTGTACAAGGATAGTGAAAGGGTTCTTGGAAATACATTTGGGATGTGCATATTGCAGGTAGCTTTTGATGGTTGCTTGCTGATGTTTCAATCACTTTTGATATCTCAGGATCGTTATAGGTTTTGCATGTGCTTTTATTTTAGGATTTTGAGGCTTTGACTCCAAATCTCCTGGCTAGAACGATAGAAACAGTGGAGGGTGGTGGATTAATTGTACTGTTGCTTCGTTCTCTGTCCTCACTGACCAGTTTGTGCACCATGGTCATGGTATGAATTATAATTATAGATCCTAATTGGTGACATTCGTTGATTAATTGTATTTTTGCCTCTTTTACTCTCCTTGCCTTATTTCAAGCCAAGTGTTTGTGCTGGCAGTCTAGAGTTCATAAAAGTCTGCCCCGTTTGATTGTATTTATAATTCCTCATTTGTGTGCACATCATTACTACATAAACTTTCAAAATGCTGCTGATATCAGGATGTTCATGAGAGGTTCCGTACAGAATCCCATTCTGAAGCTGCTGGGCGCTTCAATGAACGTTTTCTGCTGTCCCTTGCATCATGCAAAGCATGTGTGGTTATGGATGATGAGTTGAATGTTTTACCTATTTCATCTCATATTAGGTCGATTACTGCTGTTCCTGTTAAAGAGGTAATTTTCTGTTCCTCTACCTTTGTGAACTATATTGCATAAATAACTCTACTACAATGTCAGTTTTCTATTACATCCATTTATATTTTAGTTTGGTTATTAGATTATCAAACTAGCTTACTGTTTTGTGGGCATCATGAACTATGTTATGTAACAATTCTACTACAATTTCAGTTTTCTAAGTAATTATGTGAAAGAGTTAGTTAATTACTTTTGGTCAAGATGAAATATTTTTTTCCCTTTAATAAATTTTTGTGTCATCTTAATGATAGATATATCCAATGCTTAGGGACAAATCAAGTCAAGCTTGGGGTTTTTCAAGCTTGGTTCAGAAAGTCACTGCAGCATAAAGTTGTTTTTGAGCTTGGTTTATTTAGCTAGTGAGGAAGAATTTAAATGAGCTGAACTTGAGCTGTTTAGCACAATTTGGTTCCTGGTTTATTTTGCAGTTATTTCCACTTATTAAGCTTTTGAAAGTGCTACATTTTTTATTACATTGTCATACTATGATGGAAATGTTAAACTGCATCTTTTTAGCAGTTTGTTTGTTAACCAGGGACACTTTTATCATCAGTTGATATCACTAGTTGTTGAATTTGAAAATTGTTTATGCTTTATGTAACTGTTCTTTTACCTCCTTTTGGTGATTAAAGGACTCTGAAGGGCTTTCAGAAGCGGAGCGGGATCTGAAGAATTTGAAAGAACAACTAAATGATGATTTTCCTGCTGGTCCTTTGATTAAGAAATGTTGTACATTGGATCAGGTAGATAATGTTTATATGCAGCAATGATTCTTGATTCTTGTTGTCTGGCAGACTAATTTGGCTAATTCTTAATGATCAATGGCTGATATACTGTTTTTATGTTTGAGTAGGGAAAAGCTGTCATTACATTTCTTGATGCAATTTTAGATAAAACCCTACGTAGCACAGTGGCCTTGCTTGCTGCTCGTGGCCGTGGGAAATCTGCTGCACTTGGTTTAGCAGTTGCTGGAGCTATTGCTGCTGGGTAATGCGATTGAATTTGATACAGTTGTTTATTACTGAGCTTATTATTTCCTTGTTTGAACATTTAACTTTGTTTGATTCTGATAAAAGAAATATATCTGCACAGGTACTCAAATATATTTGTGACTGCACCAAGTCCCGAGAATCTGAAAACATTATTTGAATTTGTTTGCAAGGGTTTCAATGCAATTGAATATAAGGTACAGTTGTACTTTCTCCCAATGTATGAATGATATGTTTCAATAATTCTTACAAATAATTTGTTTTTCATCTTACATATGCTCTTCTAGATTCCATAATCTTTTGCAATAAGATTTATGTCCATCCCTGAATAAGCTTTCCCTTTTATTTATGCTGTTTGGGGCAGAAAAAGTTTCAAAGCAATGTGTTTAGTTCTCTCTATTGATGACACTAGGAGTTTTCCAATTTATTTCTGGAAATTATTCAGGTTACGTTTGATCTGAATGAAGTGATTCATCTCTGTGTTTGCTCTGTGTTTTAGATATTCAATGTTTTAAGTGTTGTTGTCTTATCATTTTTAACTTTATCTCAAATCTACTTTAACCTTTATTTCCAGGAACACATTGATTATGACATGGTGAGAAGTTCGAACCCTGAGTATAAGAAAGCAATTGTGCGGATTAATATTTACAAGCAGCACAGACAAACAATTCAGGTTAATATACATTGCTAGATTATTTGTACTAGATGATGCTGTCCTGTATTTGATGAATGAGGATGGAAATTTGTATCTTAGAATTACGTTATTATGTTGCTTTCTTTGCTCATGCATATTCAATTTGCTTTTTGTCTTGTAGTATATACAGCCACATGACTATGAAAAGCTTTCGCAAGTTGAACTGCTGGTGGTTGATGAAGCTGCAGCCATTCCCTTGCCAGTTGTGAAATCTTTGCTTGGTCCTTATCTTGTCTTCCTTTCATCTACTGTTAATGGGTATGATATGTTTGTGATAGTAGTTGTTTATACAAAATTAAGTGTTAACGTTAGCTTTGTTTTTCTGTCATGTTAATTCTTCTTATTTTCCCCTTAAGGATGCTCATTCTAACTTGGGTTGAGGAAGCAAATTTTGATTTAATTTTGATGAAATTTTGTTCTTTTTAATCTTGCACTCAAAGCTATGAAGGAACTGGTCGATCCTTGTCCCTGAAACTTCTGAACCAACTGGAGGAGCAAAACCATATGTCTGCTAAGGGTGTGGAGGGCTCTACTAGTGGTATGTTTTATAACTCTATGAATTAGATTTATGTATCTAGGCCTGTGAAGGTTGCAATTTAATAGAAATGTAGCTGTTTTAATAGATGATAACGATTGTTGTCCGGAAGAGCCTGACAATATCTAATTGGGCAGCCAGCAATACTTCAAGCAGACAAGGATTGTGGTTCACAAGAAGTAATCCTTGTCTGCTTGAAGTATTGCTGGCTGACCATTGTATTCACATATGATAACTAAGATTATTTTAAAAATTTTCTGAGTGATCGATTATCCTTGACTGTAGGTCGTCTTTTCAAAAAGATAGAACTTACTGAATCTATTAGATATGCTTCTGGAGATCCGATAGAGTCCTGGCTTAATGGTTTGCTATGCTTGGATGTTGCAAATTTCATTCCGAATGTCAGCAGGTTTGCATTAAATTGTTATCATCTGATGAAGCTGAAACTGCCTACAGCTTCATTGATGTTCTCACTTATGAAAGCATTTTCATTATCATTATTAATTTCTTTTTTGGAAAATTAGATTACCTCCGCCCAGTGAATGTGATCTCTACTATGTTAATCGGGATACACTTTTTTCCTTCCACAAGGACAGTGAGTTATTTTTGCAGGTAATTATATCGTGATCTGATGTTTTCATTTTGGTTTAACGTAACCTTGGTGCTTATATGTCTATTATTTGCAGCGAATGATGGCACTATATGTTTCTTCTCACTATAAAAATTCTCCCAATGATCTACAACTAATGGCTGATGCTCCAGCACACCATTTATTTGTGTTGCTTGGTATATCAACTTTCTTTTGAAGTATTTTTTTTTACCTTTTCAAGATGAGATACTCATTTTAACTGCTTATATGCAGGCCCTGTCGATGAGTCAAAAAATCAACTTCCTGATATCCTGTGTGTCATCCAGGTTTGCATCTTTATGTGCAATGCACAATTACAAGCATTACTAATGGTTCTGCTGTAGCATGCAATGATCCTTTGAGCAAATAAGATCATGCACATATATGCATACATGCTTACATGTGTTCATGTGTACACATATTTACAGGTCTGCCTTGAAGGGCAGATTTCTCGTACATCTGCTATTAAAAGTTTAAGTGCTGGCCATCAACCCTCTGGAGATCAAATCCCATGGAAATTCGCTGAAGAATACAGGAATACTGATTTCCCTAGTCTTTCAGGTGCTCGCATTGTACGCATNATATTTTCAAATTCATATCTTTGTTTGATGTTGAAGGTTGTAAGGAATTAACGAAAGAAAAAGAGTTAATTTAAAATTTAAAGAAGAAAACTAGTGTTTATAGTAAGGTGAATTAGGAAAGTAATTTTGTTTTTATCTATTTAAATTATATCTTTAGAAACAAATTACTTTTTTACATTGAGAGTAAATCTCTCTCGCTCAGTCTCAGTTGGTCTCTTTATATATATATATATATATTTTTTTTTTTTTTTTTCTAAGTTACTTCTCCTGTGTTGGGTCAGTGCAGCTTGGATATGGTTCTGCTGCTGTGGAACTTTTAGCTAGGTACATGCATTTTTTACTTCCATTAGTTGTATTACTACACTGCATAGATTTATGGCTTCCACAAAATTATCAGATATTGATTTTAATATTTGAATTATGAATATTTGTAATTTTCTTGATATCAATATGGAGTTTTCTGTTCCTATCAATGAATAAAATTGAATATAAAAAATGTGGAATATGAAAAAGCTGGGCAGCTATTGTATATTAACTTTCGACACATCATAATTAAAAAAAAATGTGGGATATTTGGATTCTGATTATGATGTGATACATCATAATTTTAAATGTCTTTTGAAGAGAAGCATTTTTAATCTAAGATTGTCTACAGGTATTATGAAGGACAGTTCGCTTCTATTTCTGAGATAGATGTTGAAGATGAAGTGGAGACTCCCGAAGTTAGAGTTACAGAAGCTGCAGAAAAGGTTCACCCATATAACTAGCTTTACTAGTTTTTTATTTTTATCATAAAATACATTCGATATTTGCTGAAACTTGTGTTTTTAGCATAACCTGCAAATAATTTCATACTTTAAAATTTTGGGTTCTGCGTCAAGATTGTGATCTTATTTTCCTGGTTAATATTGGCTTTTCCCTTCTTTTATATTTTTTATGTTGATGGAACTATAAATATTTAGAATATCAAGATATTCTTTGACCTTGTGAACACTGCATTTGCAGGTTTCATTGCTTGAAGAAAATATAAAACCTAGAACAAATCTTCCCCCTTTGCTTGTACATCTCCGTGAACGGCGGGCTGAGAAGCTCAATTACCTTGGTGTATCCTTTGGGCTTACCTTGGAACTTTTCCGTTTTTGGAGGAGACATAAATTCGGGCCCTTCTTTATTGCCCCTAATGCTGTAAGATGCCTATTTTTTCTTGTGCTATGTATCCTTTCAATTTTCTTTTCTTTGTTTCTTAATTTACATAGTTTAACATGCTTTGGAGGATTACTCGGGAGTTGATTTTGATTTTCTTTATTTTAATCGTTAAGAATGCTGTGACTGGCGAACATACATGTATGGTCCTGAAACCATTATCCAGTGAGGATATTGAAGTTGATGAATCAGATGAATGGGGCTTCTTTGGTCCATTTTACCGAGGTATTTCAATTTTTAATAATTGTTTGTCTCTCCTTTTGCTGTGATCCATATCCTTAGTTCATAGCCTGATCATTTGTGGAATATCCCTAGAATTCAGGAGAAGATTTGCCAGACGAATTTTTTCAGATGTTAAGTTAAGCAATATGGACTATAAGCTTGTTATGAGGTAAGCTTTTGATATTTTATCATCATTGAATTAGTTTTGTTGTATAATTTCTCACCCTACTCTTAACCTTTCAGCATTTTGGACCCTAAGATCAACTTTACTGAGCAAGAATCTACAGAGTCCACCCCAGAGAAAACTTTGAAGTCGACTGATATTTTATCACAAGACAACATGGAGCGGGTGAGAGCTTATATAGATGGTTTTATTGACTATACTCGGGTAAGATCTCCAAAGATGAATAAGACAGAGAATACTTCACATTATTCGTTATTTTTATTTAATATTCATAGTTCTAATCGTCTTTAAATCTTTTTTCTTTTCTTTTTTTTTCCCAGATTATAGACATTCATCCCTATTTGGCAGACCTATATTTCCAAGAGAAGCTTCCAGTTTCATTTTCTTATGCTCAGGCCTCTGTACTGCTTTGCATTGGTTTGCTGCGGCAAGATATCTCTTACATTGAGGTTTGTTTCGGACCCTGCTCTTCAAATAATTTAACTTGTATGCACAACTGTTTTCTTGTAACATTTTGCATCTGTGTGAGCGTCTAATATCTCTGTTATATATCGTTCCTAAAAGAAAAAAGGAAATCTAATATCTCTGTTATATATAGTTATGTACCACTTTCAATGGTCTTTGCGTTGGCTGTCTTGAGTGTAATTTTCTCTTGTCGAATGTGTATTGACTAAGTCATGCTCAATTCAAATCTTGTATTGCAGGGACAAATGAAGTTGGAGAGGCAACAGGTACTTACAATGTTTAAAAAGGTTATGAAGAAGTTACACAAATATATCACGAGTATTTTAACGGAGGATGCTGAATCTGCTCTACCTCGACTAAGAGATGTAAGTCAAGGATTCACCTTGCACTCTTGCCTTGAATTTAATGATTGTTAAGCTGGTACAAATACATAAAGATGTCATTTTCAGTCACCAGTAAGGTTATTTTTCTCTTGTGCTTTTCCCTGGTTTGGGTGCATCAGCAGTAATGTCCAAAACACAACATAACTGGGTATGAAATCATGTGAATTGGGGATATAAATCTACTAGTGTGCCTGTCAATGGATTTAATCAAAATCATTTCCAATCATGAACATAATATATAGATCGTTTAAGTACTTCAAAACCAATGGTGATTTGAATCATTCCGAAGTATGCCACTAGCAAGGATAGAATTGTCCCATTTGTTTCTAATATTTAGATGCATATTTCTAATTTTTTTTTTTTCATCTCTTAGAATGATTTAATTGTAAATAACACAACTCCGAACTTGATGTCTCAAATTGCTCTCAGATCGAGTTGAAACCTCATAATATTTCCCTCGATGAAGATCTCAAAGAAGCAGCAAAGCAAGTTGAGGTGTGCCTTTTAACCTTTGCTTTCTCTAATTTTTTTTTTTTTTTTGAATTTTATTTTCTCTTTACCGTAAGTCCAAAACTGAATCCACTCACTAAACTCCATCTATAGGAGGAGATGAAATCCAAGGTGGAGGGTATGTTGGATCCCGACTTGCTTCAAAACTATGCCATTGTCGACAAAGATGGTGACTTTGACAAGGCTCTGCAAAATGGAGCCGGAAAGGCAATCTCCAGTGGTGTCATTAGCGTCAAATCCAGCAAAACGAAAGTTGAGAAGCCTTCAAAGCAAAAAGAGAGTCAGAAAAGCGGGAAAAAGAGAGGTAAAGACGAACACGGCTCAAAATCGAGTAAGAAGCATAAGTCTTAATTATTTTGACATGCAAGAGATGCAATTTTATTGTAGAATAGGATCAAGAGTGAGTGAAACTCTAATTTTAGATGGGAATTAATTGCTTATTGTTATTTTTATTCTGTTGTATTTCAACTTAGCATAGTGATATATGCAATTTTGAGAGAAGAATACTAGAATAGGTCACTTGTTTTTGGATTTTTAAAGTAATTTATGTACATAAAAACGCTGGCAGCTGCATTTGAATTAAAGAAAAAAAAAATTGGGATTTTTCTAAATTTTTTTGTGTGCTTTTGATGGGTATTAAAGAAGAAAAATACATAAAAGATGAGAAAAAGAAAAGATTTTATGACTCTGGCGAAAAAATACCTAAAGCAATGTTGCTAATATTCCTAGTGTGGAATATGCTATAGAGTAGAACTATTATGTTTAGTGGTAATAAACTAATAATATTATTTATCTACTTTACAAATCGAAAACAAATATAACGAAATTGGATTACTGAAAATTAAATTAAAAAAAAGTATAATGATAATCATATATAAAAAAATCCCATGCTTTTATGTATAACTTATGTGGTAGAAAGCATACAAATTCTCTTTTCACTTCAAAGGCTCGTCATATCCAAAAAAGGAAGAAAAAATAGCATTAATGAAATGATATTATACTATATTGTTTATTGAATCGTTAAAATTTTATTTTAAATTAATAAATATTTATCTGTTCTTTTATTATTATTTTCTTAAATTTTTGTTATTGATCTTTTCAAAGAATTTTTTGTTGTTTCATAAACCTATTATTGATCTTCTCAATGTCCATCTTTTAGGCAACATTGTTTCACTTCCATTATCTACTGTTGATAAATTTTCAGTACAAATCTAATTTTCTTTGGTACTAACAGAACTTATATGCCTCACACACTAACATGACACACCAGTGTGCATCCCTTAAAATGGAAAAGTAACCCAACCGGCCCGGCCCGCGACGGGTTACTTTGTTTGGCGGGTTAGGCCCGGCCCGCCAAACAAAGTAACCCGCCCGGCCCGGCCCGTGACGGGTTACTTTGTTTGGTGGGCCGGGCCTAACCCACCCGCCAACAAAGGCAGGCCGGGTTAGGCCCGCTATTTTCTCCAAAATGGCTGGCCCAGCCCGGCCCGCCAGCCCTAACCCGCCGGGTTAGGTGGCGGGCTGGGCCGGGTTAGCCCGATTTTCCTATTTTTTTTGTTTTTTATTTTTTTATTTAACTTTTCAAATAAATAATTATAAATATAATTGTTTTTAATTAACTTTTCAAATATCAATAATTCAATTCAATTTTTTTGTTTGTTAACATTTCAAATATTAATTCAATTTTGATACAATAAAATTATAATATAAGAAAAATTAGACTTATTGGAGTATGGAAATTGGAATTTGGAAAATTGGAAATATTAATTAAAAATTGCAAAAACTAATAAAAATTAAAATATGAGCAAATTGCAAAAACTAATAAATGAATAATTGAGAGATTAAAGATTAGAGAATATGAAAGAATGAGAGAATTTGAGTTGTGAGAAAAATGTGAGAATTTAGAACCAATTTATAGGAAAAAATGGGAAAGAGAAATGACGAAAAAGACCCTTCCAACGGCTATAAAACGACTATATTTCAAGGGTAAAAGGGTAATTTGAAAAATAAAATAAAAATTTTTATTTTTTTTATTTTTTTGGGCCAACCCGCCGGGTTGCACACAACCAACCCGGCGGGTTGCCGTGTCTCTTGCAAAAGAGACAAAATAGCAACTCGCCGGATTGCGGGTTGCCATTGTGCAACCCGACCCGCCCGGGGGTTGCTACTGGGTTAGGGTCAACCCGGACCGCCAAGGCTTAACCCTCATTTTCCCGGGCCGGGCTAGGGTTAACCCGCCTAACCCGGCCCAAATTTTCCACCTCTAGACTCTTCAATCCAAATGTTTCAGTGTACTAATAGAACTTATATGCCTCACATACTAACAGAACTGATGGATGTTTTTTAATTTTTTTTATAAATTTGAAAATTGAAGCTCAGAAAGAGGCAACAAACATTCATTTTCAGGCTTGAATGGGAGCAACTTATAATCCTATAAACATGTTGGGTCACAAGATGGGGCTAAAAAAAAGCACCAGAGCCTAAAAAAGATCCATGCATTGAGAAGCATTAGATACAATGAAATGTTTGACAAAAAATGAAAATGAAAAACATGAGGATTGTGCTGAATGTATTTTCATAGCACAAACAGCAACACATTTCTGGATCTCGCATGGACATGGTCGATTATTATTATAGCAAAGTAATAAAAGGTATCGTCATAATCTGAGTAAGGTTCTCCATTATGTCGCAACAATAGTTCAACCTCGGATCAAATCGTAAAAGAAAACCAGATGTTGAATCTCTCAGAGGAAGTTTCTGATGTCCAGTGACTTCACATCCACCATTTCCTCATCTTTGAACTCCTCCCTGAAATCGGAGAAAGACTAATATCAGTTCCAACTCTCTTGCAATAAAATTTAGATACAAAGTAAATTGGTCAATCTGAATTCAAATAGCACTGGTCAGTTAAGGACACATGGCAGCTGCCTCAATAGCCCATTTGCCATCTTCAATGGCATCTAAATAAGATGCAAGCTCACCCCTCTGACAAGTCCATTGTTTCTATTGGGTGCAAAACCGGGGCTTACTGCTCATCTATAGCCCTTTTGTAGTCAATAAATTCATGTGATACAACATCTTAGATAAGAGGCCTCTAGATAATTTCTTGGTAGGTAATCAAGTGTCACTTTGTTTTTAGACAATTTAAACCTACGACCTAGGCCAGTTCTACCCTTCAACACCTGACTTGAGTGCACAGAACATGCCATGAAGACAGTAAAACGTGCAAAAAAATTGATGGGTTTACAATAGAAAATGGTCAGCATTGCAAAGTGCAAATAACCTACCGCTTCTTTTGGGTTTCCATAGCCTCAAGAGCATCCTTCTTCAGCTCCTCCAGCTGTGCTTTGGCAATTTTGTTTTCCAACTGCTCTTCATACTTTGGCAAGTCCTCCTTCCGGATTCCAAGCCTGGTAAGATAATGAATTTGTCAGAGGTGCTTATTCATTTTTGGCCTCATACCAAACCTTAGGGAAATTAAAGAAAACAAATTTTGAGCAGTATCAAGCATATACAGACACATAACTTTTAGAGAACTGGAGTAAAAAATTCAGTAACCAGGATGAATCCTATAGTTCTGAATAAAAAACTTGATAGGCCCACAATACTAATTATAGATGTAGTTTAATTACCACAGTTATCTAGGTGTAGGTCAGCTGACCTTCCAGCTTACCCTATCAAGAAAATTAGCCTTCCTGCTTGCATACACAACCTCATAATGGTAGAACAATAAAGGAGGAATAGAGATATTGGTTGGTAAAAATCATTTTTGAGTCACTTTTAGCAATGCTACAAAAATCGTTTGCTATTTACTCTCTCCAAATTGAATGGTGATATAAATTTCATATTTTTCATATGACCCACAAGTTCCTCAACCTCTTGTCACACCAAAGTGGGCATTTTATCGGTGCATAATAACACATCAATACTACACCTATAACCTCTATATCATAACAATGCATAACTCACACTCAAATACAGCCCAATTCATTTTTAAATGGTTTGAATCATATGAAAATATCGCATCATATAAAGTGATACTTTATTCTATAAATGACATAAGATTAATGCACTAAATAACAAACTACATGTACGAAAATAAACCCACATATATATCTACATTGCAAAATATACCATGGAAGCCCTTGGTACTGGTCAATATATACATAACAAATATGAAATTGACATGAAAGAACCCCTGACCCACACACGACACCGATGGGGTAAATTGACAACTTGAGCACTTCAGATGTGTCATCAGTCCTTAAGCATGTAAGCATGAATAATTGGTTCCTTCTTTTTCCCCAATATGCAGGATTAGCTGCACCTACCATGTTCATATATTATGATAAAGCATCATGGCAGAACAGAGTACTAGTCTTATTATATACTTGGCTAAACATGCTGAATATTCTAATCAGAATTATGCTATGAAATATTGGGCTGCACACAGCTACTATGACTAACAAATTCAACTTTCAAGCCACTAGTATGGTCAAACCTGTGTCATCAAATTCAGACAGTAACGCAAATTTTAAGTCATCACTTATATCTTAGTAATCATAGTTCAGGTGAATTGCATAGAATAGTTCTAGTACAAATACACTAGACTCCATACCAAATAGACATACCTCATAAATGCAATTAAATTAGATAATAAACGTCGACACCACAGTAGGAACAAGCTAAAGTTCACTCAACCTTACTATGACAAACATTCCAACTAAAAAGCCTCAGTCGAATCCTCATTATACACAAAAGTGTAAAAAAAACAAAGCAGCTAAAAGCTAATGATACTTACTTCTTATTAATCTTATCAAACTCAGCCAAAAGCAAAGCCATCCCTTTCTTATCATTCCTCATAAGAGGCTTTTTTATTTCCTTTTCAACTTTCTCGAGGGCGTCCATCATCATAGCCTCTGCACCAAGTTCATCAGTGAGTCCTCTCCTGAAACAGAAAAGATACAAATAATATTATTACGGCTTCAATTGTAATTTGCAGCTATTTCGGATCCACGATAAACATAGAAGCAGTCAATCTCACTGGTAGTTCATCATTTGATGCATAGTCTCATGCGAAAATAAAATTTAACCAATTCTTATCACCACTGCTAGAAGAATAGCCTAAATGCACTGGCAACAAAAATTAAGAAAGCATGGAGAGGTGATAAGAAGTTCTTTTTCCAAATTCCATTCATTCTAGTAAAAAATGGTGGTCACAGCACATAAAAACACAAGTACAAAGCTTGAACTACAACAACTTACAAAGCTTGAACTACAACAACAGTTATATCTAAAACATAAAGAATATATAAATGAGTACATACTTGATCCGAATTTCCTTTAACGTCAACAAATATGTCCGAGCATCTGGGATTCCTTCTGTTCGACTTTGGATGGTAAACTGAATCCTTTGAGATTCTGAAAACAACCCTGCTCTGCAGATGCCAAAATATAATAGGTAAATTCATCATTAACCGAAACAATAAAATTAAGGTGACATAAATGTACCATACACGGTTCTTCTCTCATTCAACATTCACCCCTGTACATTTATTTGACAATGATATAGCAGGAAACACAGACTGACAGTCTCAAAACATTTAAAGCATAAAAAAGGTCCAAATTCACATTAATCAATTCTAATATCTATAGAAAAGTTAGCTCCATGAATAATGTCCCTTGATACGTAAGCTGTGAAGTGATATTTCGGAAAATGTTAAGCATTACATACACATCACTCACAAGATTAGAGATCATACATAAATATTTAAGGTATAAATAAATGGATTAAAAAAAAAATACATATCTCAAATCATTTCACTAAAATGCACCAGGATATATAAAAGAGAGCAATCATGGAATAAATGAATGCCAAATGAGACAAAGGAACTTACTTCTCTCTGATTGTCTTCATGACCTTGGCATACTGAGAAACAGAAGCAGGATCATCTGGGTCAATGGTGATCTTCTCCTTCCGAAGTATCCCCATGGCTGTCTCAAATTTTTTCTTAACATCCAAAAAGATGTTCTTCAACATCTCTTTTCAGCACAAATGAAAGTACTTGTTCAGTAAATTATCAAATAACACAACAAGCTCATAAAATATCAAAACACAACAATCAGCAGATAATGGTATACGCCAAAAATAAAATACCCATTCCACCGCTTCTATTTCTCCTCATTAAAGAAACCAAACTTTTAGCAGTTATAAAGCACCAAAAGTAGGTCAAAAACAGCCAATATCAACTATAATCAAGAATTTGAAAAACCCATCAAATGCAATTACTTGTTCATCGAATAACCATAACACCCAAAAGATCAAGCATCACAATCTACCTTCAATATTCTTTTGCAAATTTGAAAATGAAAACTAGTTCACTAATTCAAACAAGCCCATATGCTTAATATCGATATACAGTTGCAAATTACACCCAATTTCAAACTAACTTATTTCCGCGCTAGCGTTCATTCTCTCTCTTTTCAAGACGGGTTACTCCCTTTGTTTATTATTTATTTCCCAATTCTTGACTTTCCAATCTGTTAATACATACAAACAAACATTAAAACAACTATACATTCACTCACCATCTCCCTTAAGAGCCGGAGGTGCAGCTTCCTTCGCAAAGTAACGCACTGGAATAGCATGCTGCTGCTGCTGCAGTATCACTTGGCTCCCACACAACTGTGCATTTCCAATATAAAATACACCAAAAAAAAGTAAATGCCGAGCAATAAACAAGCAAAAAAATAAACAATTAAGAACATAAATGTTAGTGATATCTAAAAAATTTCAATTTTAAAACATAAATGATACTCATTTTCACTAAGATAGTTAGTCAAATCCCCCAAAAAGAATTCTAAAAATATTAATAAATATCAGATTTTTCAGTAGCTGTCATTTTATTTTAAAAATGTAAAAGCAACAAATTTCAGATTATTATTATTTTAATGCTAAAAACAAACTTTCAGATTGTAGGTGTAACCAAATTTATATTTATACTTTTAAAATTTTTTTTTAAAAAAAAGGCCACACTCGCATTTCAGATCCGATTGAACAAAATGCGCAAAGAAAAAATGAAATCGAGTATTGAGGAGTAAGAAACTTCAGTTTTCGAGGTTAAGGAAGAATTGATCGAGGATAAGGATAGCCTTATTCCGATCTGGAATAGCGAGGAGTGAGTTACCGACCTGTTTGGGTTTGGATAAGAGCCGAGAAGAGAACGCCATGATCGGACCTCAGCCTTCTTCTTCGTCTTCAATGGTTTGGTTGATTTTTAGCCTTAGGGTTTGGTTGGAAGCTCTGCGTTTTTGTTTATGAGATGTCTCAATCTGAGACTGTGTGAGACTGATTCTATGCGTCTCAGGTGTTGGTTTGCTTGTGATGTATGCCGTTGGTTTGTGTTTGGGGTATTTGAAACCGACGGCTGTGAGGCTCCCATTTGGTGCCCTTCCTTTCGAAAGAACAATAAAACTCCAAATTTTATTAAGGGTATCATCACCTACAGAACATCGTTTTAAGAAATATTATTAGAGGATATTTTTTTATTAAAACTTACAATTAAAGGACACTTAAAAACAAACGACGTTAACTTTAATTTTATTTACACATTTCATTTCAATGAGAATCATAAATAAAATAAGTTGATAAATATTTTTTTATTATATTTTGCATTTTAGTTTTATTTTATTGTTAAATATATATTACTTTTAAAATTTAACTTAATATAATTACACATAAATTCTTAGCTTTGTTTTTTTTTTTTTTTTTTTTAAACGAAATCATAATTGTACATGGGCGTTAAAGTCATTTTAGGAAATTAAGTTAAAGTTAACAGTGTTTTACCGCTAAATATCCTTTAGTTGAGAATTCTTTTTATAAAAATTGTCCTATAACAATCAATTTCTTAAAATGATGTCCTCTAATGTACATTTAAAAAAAAAAAAAAATAGTATCATTAAGGTTATAATATTCTTTTTCTTATTATTTTTTTGAACATCAAAATTTTGAAACCAAAATCTTTAAGAAAATGTATTTGATTGACATGTAAAATAAGGTAAAAAAAAAAAAAAATTGCTTTTAAATGTTCTATATAGTTTTTTGGGTTAAAAATTCATGTCGTTAAGTTTTATGTGATAAAAAAAATTAGATATATATTTGTTAATTTATAACAATTGGGTAGATAAATTTTTCTTATTCTTTAAAAAGAATTTATGTTCTTTAATCAAACCTTAGAAGAGTCAAATATTAACCCAATTTCTTTCGACTTTGAGAACAATTTTTTCTTTCTTTCAATTATATCAAATACATTTGAAAAATTAGACAATATTTATATAAAACTTACATTCCGAATATTATATTTTAGTTTTTAAAAATTATTTTTGGCTCGAGGAGAAATGAGTGTGATCTTTGAATTATTAAATTTAATTATTGTTCTTAATTTTATTCGAAGTTTTATTAAAAGTATTTATAGTTTCATATGAGGTGAATAATATTTTCTTAAATAAATGATATTAGGTTATTCTTTGAAAGGAATATAGCATAGAAACTACCTTTGAGTGATTGAGTAGTTCGATAGAGGCTCTTGGGTGTATTACTCAAGGGGTCCTAAGTTCGAGTCCTTCATCGGATGTTAATAGGGGTAGTCACTAAAACTCTTATCTGAACGGTAGTTTCAGGGTCCCGAGAGATTAGTTGAGATGCGCTTGAGTTGGTCCGAACACCTTGGGTCATAAAAAAATACACACACACACACATATGTATATATATTGCAACTAACTTTTGATTCAATCCTATAGAATTTTGGAATTTTGGCATGAATACTGGTTCAGACTCTAATTTGCTAGCTAGTGATGTAAGATGCAGACAAAAATGATACAAAAGAGTCCATGGTGCTTATGTGAACACTTCATATTTCTTTCGAGTCTCTCCAAACACTAATAGTAGTGGTCACTAGGACTCTTATCCGATCAGCAATTTCAAGATCTAGAAAGATTAGTTGAGGTGCGTGCAAGCTGGTCTGAACACCCTTGGTCAAAAAAAAAAAAAAAAAAAAAAATCATATTTTTGGCATGAATGTATAGCCATCTTTGCAAGTCTTATTATTATATATGGATGAAACACGTCCTTTGCTTCTGCAGTGGTAAACCAAACAGACCCCTTCTGCTTTATTCTTTCCTGATATGTTTGATTCTGAAACTTCATTCATTATCTTCATATAAACTGTATTACATGTTTTTCTTGTGATTTCAAAAGATACCCTTATCAAATCTCAACACAAAAAGAAAGGAAAAAAAAAAAAAAAAAAAAACCCATAGCAGCAATTGAAATGGCTTATGTGTTTAAATTCAACTCCAGATTCTGAGAATTGTTCTCTCTTAATGATGATGGTTAGTTTCTTAATAGATTTTGCAATGTATTAACATATGAATATTCTTCGACTTGGTTCTGTATCTTGCTTGTTGTATCTCATTTGGTATAATTGTAAGGATAAAATGCAAGTAAAGCAATGTTGCAGGATCCGGGTTTCGGAGTGATTCCAGGTGAAAATATTCGTTCTGGTAAATTTTCCTGTAGCATTGTTTAGTTTTATGTAGTGTTTTCTTAGTTATAATGAGGGAAATCCTTAGTCAAGCACTGATGTAATTTTACAGAATCACACCATTCCTGAGAGTATGGCCACTACTAAATTTCGTGGTCAAAAGCCTCAAGGCAGCCAACCAAAAAATGTCAAAGTACAAAGCAACAATAATCCTCAAGAGCAGAATTGCTGGCAAAAGTTTTGTGAATTCTGTCATAGGATTTGGCTTCAGATTTATCAGTTTTTTTGTTGCGAGAAGAATGAAGTTCGTTCTTCAGTGGCCGCAGTTGAAACAGTGAATGGTGACCATATTTCAGATTCTGAAGCTACAAAGAGAGATTCTATGTTGGGGAAAACAAGCTTCCCAGCTAAACAAGAAAATGGAAGCCTTGAGGCTGGAAAGAAGACGGTGGATCATGTACCACGGGAAGATTTTAGCAGCTCGAATCAGGTTTTTAAAATGAAAAATGGTAGCACAGATGAACCTGGTGAATTGTTGCAAAACAAGCAAAAGATCAGCAATGAAAGACCTGCAGAGAAAACAGGGGAGCATCCTTCTGGGAACAAAGTTGGCAGCCATCAACCGGTTTGTAATGATTTATCGAAAGAAGACGTTACAAGAAAAAATAATAAAACTGGTAAGTATGAGGAATCCAAACCTCCAAATGAAGCCTGTAGTAGTTTTGAGCATTTGCCGGAAGAGCAGCGAAAGGAGGGCCTCGAGCGAGAAATCAAGAACGAGAGCCAGACACCAATCATTGGTGGGGCTGAGCAGGCAGGCCAGATCATTGAGAAGCAAAAGCATGCTCTTAATCAAGCAGGCGTCAATGAAGATACTAGACATGCAGGCTCCAGCTCTTCGGAGATAGCCAAGAGTAGCATTGGGGAAGAGGCTGCTTGCGAAACAGGCTTGAACAAGGAAGATAAACATACAGATCCTAGACGTCCCGAGAGATTCAAGAGCACTGTTGCGAAAGAGCTTTCCATTCGAGTAAGCTTTGGCGAAGATGATGCAAATACGGATACTAGCTCTTCAAAGATGGGCAAGAAAATCGCTGAAGAGAAGGTTGTCAAGCAAGTAAGGTCCGTCAAAGAGGATAAATGTACAGATACAACCCCTCCTAAGTCAAGCAAGAGCAGCGCCGAGGAAAAGGTTTTCAAGCAAAGGAGTTTCAAAGAAGATGATAAATTTACAGAAACTAGCCCTGCAAAAACAGGAAAGAGCAGCACTGAACAAAAGGTTGCTGAGAAAGAGAGTTTCAAATAAGAAGATAAATTTACTGAAACCATCCATCCCAAGACAACCAAGAGCAGCATTGGGCAAACGCTTGAGAGGCAAGGAAACTTCAACAAAGATGATAAAAATTCAAATAAAAATGATTGGCAAACTGTTGTTAAGCCAGCGAGTTTCAGCAAAGATGATAGAAAAAGTGACGCCAGCCCTCCAACGACAATCAAGAGCAGTGATGGAGAAAAGCTTGTTGGACAAGAAAGCTTCAAAAAGGAAGATGAATATAGAAAAACCAATCACTCTTCGAAGACAACCAAGTCAGAACAGGAGCAGAAGGGTTTTGGAAAGCAAGAAAGTAACAATGAAAAACAAGTGAACTCAAGACTGAGCTCTTCCATGGTTACAGATTTTAGCAGCCTCGGACAAGGAAGGCAATTACTGTCAAAGGAACAAGAAAAGGGTGTTGTCAAGCAAGAGGGCATCAACAAAGATGATGAAAATACAGGGATAAGCTATACAGATAGAACAAAAAGCAGCATTCGACAGGCATCAAAAGAGCGGCAAAAGGAAATTCACAAACAAGATAAAAGCTATGAAAGCCATGGAAGAAATACAAAGCCAGATCATTCAGAAAATGCAACTAGTGGCTCTAAACAACAAGTGAATATGCCATTGTCAAATCAACAAAAGGGATTTCAGCAGCAGGAAGACTTCGACGAAAAAGAGAAGTTTGGTTTCTCAGATTCCTTTGTATAAAAAGACTAATTTCTTTCTCTTTCCTTTATCTATCCTTTCTTTTTCCTCATGTAAATAGTTTTGAAATAGCTTTTTTTCTTTCAATACTACATTGTTCCAATACCTTTTCTTTTCTAGCAGTGTTTTCAGAAACATTGAAATACATAAATTGCATATGACAAATCAAAGAGTTGATATGCATAACCATAACAATTCCTTGGCTCTGATACCAATTTCTCTATCCCATTTTTTTTTTTTTTTTTTTTTTAAAAATGGGTATCTGTACGGCCTGAGTTAGGGAGTTGAGCCCCCTCCTTGAGAGTGATGGCATGATCTCTTTTACGACGTGGGGGAAGATTTCCTGGTTGATCAAAGAGGCTGGAGAATTCGGTCAAAACAGCCTCCCCTTGTTGTTGCAGTGATTTTAGCATTGCTTTTAACGAAGCTACAATTTTCACTAAGGAAGGATCCCTTGTCACTGATTTTCCATTAACTTCAAACTCCATTGTTAGCCTCTTCCAATTAGAACACACATCACCCAATGAGCTCAACCAGCTTATTCCCAAGACTAAATCGGCTCCTCCTAAATCAAACGGAAAAAAATCTTGACAAACTGTGATGCCCTGAATTTCTCGTTTCACTCTTCTACCAACTCCAGTACTCCTTACTGTATACCCATTCTC